TAAGCCAAATGAGAGAGATAAGACTAGGTAGAGAGCGAATCATTGTGGGAAAAAAAGAGTGATCTGAGAGTGAGAGAGTCGCCATGAATGAGAATGTGGTCTAACACACTCCTCCTTCTCTCGTTCCTTCACCTGGCTCTGGCTTCGACTTGAAACAGTGACGTGTATGATGGTTCCACGTTAGCCATTAAGCGGGTTGTGTGTGTGTATATATATAGCGATTATCTCTTTCTAATGATCGTATTCTATCGAAATATTGCCGGAACAACCGTGGACATTTTCAAGAGGAAACTAGATTTATTCCTCAAAGGAGTGCCGGACCAACCGGGCTGTGGTTGTTATGTGGGCCTGCGGGCCGCTCCAAGCAACAGCCTGGTGGACCAAACTCTCACAAGTCAAGCCTGGCCTCGGGCCGGGCTTGGGGAGTAGAAGAACTCCCAGAACCCCATCAACCAGGTATATGTGGGCCTGCGGGCCGCTCCAAGCAACAGCCTGGTGGACCAAACTCTCACAAGTCAAGCCTGGCCTCGGGCCGGGCTTGGGGAGTAGAAGAACTCCCAGAACCCCATCAACCAGGTATTCCCATTGGTGTTTATCGCCAGGGCAGCGAGGTGTGGCAGGAATGAGGATTCCGATGTCTCTTCCCCGTGTAGATGAAGACGTTAATTCACAGGTTGCAGGTACAGGAATTGAAGGGAGTGGGAGTGATTGTCGTAAAAGTAAAGGGGGAGTAATCCCCCCTAACCATGCCCCCCCTTCCCCCCTACAATTGGCCTCCCTGGGGTGGTGGGGGACATGACGAGAGTGAGAGCTCTCGAGAGTGAGAGTTCCCGAGAGTGAGAGCTCTATAAAGTAACAAAGTACCATCACAGGAAACATTGAAAAGTCGATTTTTTTTCAACTTTAGTAATATTTTTAGGAACTAAATATAATATTTATATTTCTACATATTAATTTGTGTCGTAATGTTGCGTGCTCAGAGTAAAATATTTATTGCAAAACAATATATATAACATATTGCAAAACATTTATTGAGGAGGGACGACGACGTTTCGGTCCGTCCTGGACCATTCTCAAGTCGATTCTCAAGTCACAATCGACTTGAGAATGGTCCAGGACGGACCGAAACGTCGTCGTCCCTTCACCTTCTAGTGTGTGATCTGGTCAACATACTTTAGCCACGTTATTGTGACTCATCGTCTGCATTTATTGAGGAGTTTGTGTTAATCCAATTTATAAAAAAAGGCAAAATTAGGCAGGAAAAGGTAAAAAACTTTTTCAAAGATGTTTGACTTTCATTCTTTACTCGTATGATATTCAAGAACGTCATATACATACATGCATTCTTCCGTATACCCATAGAGTTATCTTGAGGTTATCTTGAGATGATTTCGGGGCTTTAGTGTCCCCGCGGTCCGGTCCTCGACCAGGCCTCCACCCCCAGGAAGCAGCCCGTGACAGCTGACTAACACCCAGGTACCTATTTTACTGCTAGGTAACAGGGGCATAGGGTGAAAGAAACTCTGCCCATTGTTTCTCGCCGGCGCCTGGGATCGAACCCAGGACCACAGGATCATAAGTCCAGCGTGCTGTCCGCTCGGCCGACCGGCTCCCGGAGTTTACAGGTATGTATAAAATATATTAGAGATATATTACCGTGAGTTTAACATTACCCCGGGATCTGCAGTCAGATTCACGAAGCGGTTACGCAAGCACTTACGAACGTGTACATCTTTCCTCAGTCTTTGACGGCTTTGGTTACATTTATTAAACAGTTTACAAGCATGAAAACTTGCCAATCAACTGTTGTTATTGTTATAAACAGCCTCCTGGTGCTTCGGAGCTCATTAACGGTTTAATAATTGTAAACAAAGCCGCCAAAGATTGAGAAAAGATGAACAGGTTCGTAAGTGTTTGCTTAAGTGCTTTCGGGAATCTGGCCCCAGGTCGGGAGGAAATAGTCCAGGAGAAACAGGAAGGGTACGACAGCAGAACGCTTGAAGTCGTACGGTAGGTAGCCGACGGTCACCTGACGCCTCTGTTCACCTAGTTGTTAATAGATACCCCCTGTAGTTAGGCAATACTTGTGGGCTGCAGCTAGAGAAGAATATCAGTAGCTGGCTTCAGGTTATCTCAACAGGCTTAATATATTTCCAGTCGCTGGCTATGGGAAACTATAAGGTGAACTATAGGTACACTTAGCAATTACTTTTGTTACTCCATAAAACAATTTTCTGTGTTTTAACTCATTTTCTATTATCAACGTTCTCGGTATGATAGACTAAAGTATTCTAAGTTGTGCACTGAGTTGATGACAATACAATACAATACAATTTTATTTAGGTAAGGTACATACATACAATAAATATTTACAAGGATTGTTTGACTTATCGGTAGAGCTAGTACATACAATGCCTAAAGCCACTATTACGCAAAGCGTTTCGGGCATGACAATTTCGACTTTCGGGCATGACAATACATTAATTCATTGTGTCGGGGGACAGACAGCCGGAGTGTATTCATACACATTAGGCTTTTATCGAAGTCCCTCTCCCCTCTAGGGGCGAATTTCTGACCCCACCCAGGATGCAACCCCACAACAAACTAACTAACTCCTCTGTAGCCTCTGTTTAACTCAACAGTAAAATGTGTACTTGGTTGTAACAACGATTCTTCGCGGCGGGGATCGTATTCCAGGGACCTGCCCGAAACGCTACGCGTACTAGTGGCTGTACAAGAATGTAACAACTCTTGTATATATCTCAAAAAAAATCCTGGGGTACCTACTGGAATTATGGGGACTCCTGGTTCACCCTTGACAACCAGCGAACGTCTGGTCGCCTCCTCCACCTGGGGGCCGCGTTCTGTTTTCGCGATTTTGGATTTGTTACTGCCGTTTGGCATTCCTCTTCAACGTTCCGAATTGAACGACGCCTTGCGCACATATCGCCTTGGGTCACATTCTGGTTGATAGATTTTTAACGTTTTCTGGCTGGTTCTCCCGGCGGGGTGACGGTGTCCGGCGCCGGCTTGGCCGAGAGGTGCCGGGAGCTGGTGGGGTCTTAGTGGGCTCCCGGTGGGCCCTCAGCCGTGGTGGGCGGCTAGCTTATGCTCTGCTGGAGGGCACCGGGTGTCTTATGGGTTTTAGTTGGGAGCCGAGTATTTGGTTTTGCTGCTTAGTGTTCTGTGTTGGGGCGGGGACGGAGCTTGTCGCCTTGAGGGACTCCTGGAGCTCCCCAATCATCTGCCCGAGTTTCTCTACAGCGAGGCATATTAGTTTCTTGTGATATGCGTCATTCGTTTCGCCAATAGGATTTGCATTTAAGCCTTTACGGGTACGCCGGGGCGCACCCGATCCCACGATCGTCGTCGCCCCTTAATTCAAAACAATAACAACAACTAAAATTATGAATTACTGCGAGGTGAACAGTGCATTAGGTGATAGGAAATGCGTCCAATTATTTTTATTCCGCCCGGAACTCGAGCCGGAAATTTTCGTTTGTGAGTCGAGAATGAAGCCGACTGTACTACCATCCATTACGGTATTTAATCCCAAAGTAATTGAGCAACGCGAACATTGGTCAGCGAAGTCCAGAAAGGCCCCGGGTTCGATCCACGAGCGGAGGTAGAGGATCAAACCCGGGGGGTGGGGGCAGGATATTTTTGTTACACCTAATGCCTCTGTTCACTTTCATGTTCATAGCAAACGGCGCCTTCCGTTCGTATGCGCAGCGTTTCATTCGCCAGCAGTATGTAAACAACAGAGCGGGTGGAGTGTCCAAGCCCGCCACGCTTGGACGCTGCTAGTCATGTATGCATAAGTATTAAAGTCAGTAACCAAAGCAATGAGAATTATCAATCGACTTGAGAAATAAATAAATAAATAAATATGTTGGTAGCCTTTGTATAGTATGTTGGCAGCCCTTGTACAGTATGTTAGCAGCCCTTGTATAGTATGTTGACCAGACCACACAATAGAAGGTGAAGGGACGAGGCCGTTTCGGTCCGTCCTGGACCATTCTCAAGTCGATTGGTCTTGAGAATGGTCCAGGACGGACCGAAACGTCGTCGTCCCTTCACCTTCTAGTGTGTGGTCTGGTCAAATCAAGCAATGGCTTTACATCAACCCAACAGCCAAAGCCATCCATGGCAACACAGAACACCACATTCACCTACACATGAACAGGTAGGTGAACAGGTATACCTGTTCAGGTGTAGGTGAAACAGAACAGGTGTAGGTGAACGTCAGCTACCTCCACCGTCGGTAAACTCGGGTATCTGGGAATTAGGCTACAGTTGTGGGTTGGTTCATTGGGAAAGTTACTGGCTGACTTCCGGAAAAAATAAAATGGGTTCCCCACATAAAAAGTTCTCTGGGGGGAGATCTCTGAAAAACCTAGCAACAAGCTAGGTATGGAGGCCTGGTCGAGGACTGGGCCGCGGGGACACTAAAAAGCCCCGAAATCATCTCAAGAGATCTCAAGAAGCTACTTGTCTTTCACCATGGAAAGCATCATCCACTGCTTATTAAGCCTCGATGTATCTACAAATATTAATCTACAGCCCCAAAAACGCGTTCACAAACATGTCTAGCCTGCGCTTGAAACACATTAAAAATGGGGAATTGCTGAATTAACCCGGTTATTTGTTTTATAATCTAACCTCCCTATTTCCCTACCAATATTCTCCCCACGTCTTCCCTGAATCAAATGTTATATAATTTCCATCCTGTGAGACCTCGATGGGGGAAATGTTAACAAATATTTGTTCGTGTTATTTTTAATGTAATCTTGAACATCAGAACGTCGTATTTGTTTAAGGAAAATTCCAGAGTATCCTACTTGAAATCTTTGCCACTGGCATCCTGTGTATATCTTGCTTATCGCTACGGTAAAGGTTCTGCTTTTTCTGGCTTCCTTTATCTTTCATATGCACTCTCTTCCTCTCTCTCTCTTTCTCTCTCCCTCTCTCTCTCTCTCTCTCTCTCTCTCTCTCTCTCTCTCTCTCTCTCTCTCTCTCTCTCTCTCTCTCTCTCTCTCTCTCTCTCTCTGTCTCTCTCTCTCTCTCTCTCTCTCTCTCTCTCTGTCTCTCTCTCTCTCTCTCTCTCACCATACCCCACAGTCCTCTGGACCAATATTCCTTCCCTGTCTTCTAGGAACCACAAGGTACATGAACTTCATAAGAGGACTGACAGGGATATAAGGAAAGACTTCCATCGGGAGAACAACACATTAGTAAGGACAGCTTACAAGCTGCCCTGAACTTCGCACAAATAAACAGTGCCACAAAGACACATCCGCAGTAGATACGAGGATGACCCTTGACCTCTCACAGTCTCCGCTAACGTGTCAGTTCACAGCATATTACCAGAATAATAATTATGATAATAATAATAATAATTCTCATTTTTATTTGCAAGAAGGTACAATGGGTTAGTGAGATTTATAAGAGCAAGAAGGTACAATGGGTTAGTGAGATTTATAAGAGCAAGAAGGTACAATGGGTTAGTGAGATTTATAAGACTGGTATTTATACATTCATGCAAAGCCACTAACACGCATAGCGTTTCGGGCAGGTCCTTAATCTAACATATCAGGTAATTATTACCATATCAGTACTAAATGATAGATCACGAAATATATGTAATAAACTTCTAATAGATATGTCACTCCATATCATGCAGTATGTTGTATCACGTTGTATGTGGACCAACTAAACTAACATGTGATAGTGATAATATATGCATTAATAATACAATAGTTAACAAGGAGATATAAGATAAATGTCTTTACTAATCAGTTCAAGACACTTTCTACACTGTACAGTGTCTCGTCCAACACTGGGAAACATCCCAACAAATTACACTCATAATACTCGAACTTCCCACTGAGAAAATAAGTTTGTTTTCGTAATAAAGTTCATTGGAATCTCACTCGTTCGGTAGACCTGGTTTACTGGACGTTTGTGGGTTGTTACCACACGAGGCATAAACTGGCTTTACTACATGAGTAAGGCCAGTTTATTACGTTACTATATGGGGCCATTTACGTTACTATATGGGGCCATTTACGTTACTATATGGGGGATACACTGGTGTTACCAAATGGGACATTGACTGGCCTAACCACATGGGGCATACACTAGCATTACCATGTGAAGCATTCACTGGTGTTACCAAATGGGACATACACTGGCTAAACCCTTTGGGGTTTAGCCATAGGGTTTAGCCACATCTGACGTTATCCTAGGACATAATATAGCATTTAGCCATCGTGTTAAGTGCTTTCTTTTGGTAACTTATTCTCCACTGCTGAGTATATTCTGAAGGTTTTTCATTCATTGTTTCTAAATTATTGGTGTGTTCTGATCCTCCTTTGTTTTGTCTTCGTGTCTCGTATCTTCACGCTGTGAGGAACATGTCGATCTTGTGGACGTTGAACAGTCATCTCTGTGTCCTCTTCCACTCGCTCCATGACAGGGCGTCCAGGCTACTTTACTGACGCCTCGGCACAAAGGAATCCTCATCTAGAGTTTCTTGAAGATGGTGCAGAGGAAGAAGGCAATGTTGAGAGCATCGAAGACAGTTAAGACAATCAAGAAGATGGTGGCGCTGATGAGCCAGGGTGAGTCGTTCCCAGGGTGTTGAGTCGGCTGGTTCACCTGCAGGGGTTAAGGAGGAATATGTTAGTTGTTGCTATATTACAGCTGGGGAATGATATATTATATGGGGATTTTTTTTTAAATATGCTTATCTCCAAAACTATGACAAGAGAGGTGTTTCATTCACGTGCAGCCTGTACTGTGGATACACCTTAATCAACTTGCTAAAATCGCCTAACCAGTCTAGTCAAGGCTAAACAATGTACAATACCTAGCTAAGTAAGTAACCCAATCTAATTAAGATGTAATTATAAAACTAATTTGTTTGCCTTGAATACAAATTTAACCAAATTGATCAGTTCCCTTTGCACTTAATTAGCGGAGTGTTCCCTCCCTTGACTGTCTCCAGTCTCTACCATCACCCTAGACCTCCACCATCACCCTAGTACCCACCATCACCCTAGTCCTCCACCATCACCCTAGACCTCCACCATCACCCTAGTACCCACCATCACCCTAGTCCTCCACCATCACCCTAGACCTCCACCATCACCCTAGTACCCACCATCACCCTAGTCCTCCACCATCACCCTAGACCTCCACCATCACCCTAGGCCCCACCATCACCCTAGACCCCACCTCCACCTAAACTCAAACTTTCCGCAACATCCTCCCTTGTGGGGGGGTGATGTCTTCCTCTCTCACTCCCCTACCCTTGTATCTCCCTCTCTCACCCAAGTTACTTATCTTAGCCTACTCTGCCCACACCAAATGTCACTCTTCCAATTCTTGCATTTTGCTGGTTGCTCCGTGAAGGTTACAGTAGTATTGTGGGTGGGAACCTCACCATTAGCTGGAGCTGTGCCTGTGGTGCAGCTGCCGATACACTGGGCGATGTACACTGGTCCACGCGGAACATTCAGGTGGAACTTGAAGTCCCTGGCTCCCTGGTACGTGATGTTGTCCAGGTGGCGTCCCTCGGCGTCCAGGACCTGTAAGACACGGAACCCACAAGTCTGGTCATTGTTGTGACTTTCACAATGTTTCCAGTTTTGTCGTTATAACAACAACACTTTTGTGTTTGTTGATGTAAACACGCGGTATCTGCTTTGTTGTTGTTGTTTAAGTGCCCCAGGCAAGTGATGTGGTCTTGAGATGCTGGATAATAACACAACTTCATTACACCTTCACTGTCAAGAACTTGCTATTCTCCACAGTCGTCCAAGAACAGTATATGAAGCACTTGGTTCTTCGGCGTGATCCACAGATCACGACGAAGATAAAATATCTGAAAATATTTTAATCTTCATGTAAGTAATATAATTATTACCTCTCTGTCTGCTGGAAGTTTATAGTTAGAGATCTTAAGAGTGACAATCAGGAATAATTCAAGATGGGCTGCAGAGTTGGTGCTACTCTGGTAACATTAAGTAACAACCGAACTAGGTGCAATCAGGAGAGTGATCCCAAGACAGAAGCAAGTGGGCTGTAATACTTGCTCAGTGATGACCAGAAGTATAGCCAAGTGTTCCACATTCCTTGTTCTACCGACCCAAGAGTTTCCGAGTTTTAATAAAGTTTTGGGTGTTCCAGCTAATGTTACTTTGGTGCTATTACTCTGGAGTGGGGTTGGTAAGCATTCAGCTCGGGTGAGAATTGAAGGGAACTGACATAGCTTTGTTGTTTAAGGGTGGAGACACCAGAGTGTGTCACTGGTGTCGACACCAGTGACACACTTGGTGTCGACACCAGTGACACACTTCCTGTAGACACCAGTGTGTCTACAGCAAGAGAGAAATGAGCTCGGGGAATGAGTATGGGGGTGCCCCTCTCCCTCTCTGAAAGGGAGATATTCTTCCATAGATTGTGTGTGTGTGTGTGTGTGTGTGTGTGTGTGTGTGTGTGTGTGTGTGTGTGTGTGTGTGTGTGTGTGTGTGTGTCTGTGTGTCTGTGAGGTGTGTATGTGTGTGTGTGTGTGTGTTACCCCCGGTGTAGCCACGAAGCCAGTATCAACTGTTTACCTCAACGTTGTGGTCCTCGAACAAAAACTTGAGGGTGACGGGTGAATTGCCCCTCAGATCGCCACAGTCGCTCTCCGTCTCTTCGCCAACTACTGCCAGGCCGGAGCCGCTGGTGTTCCAACACAGAGTCCTCATGTTTCCTGATACTGAGAACTTCACTTTTGTGTCCAATATTGACGTCAGAACCAAGGTCTCCTCTTTTCCAGACGAAGGAATTCGTACACCAGGCCACACAAAGGTTGAGAGCTCTCTGATTGGCCAGCCTGGAGATAAAAAGTATCTGTATATACGACTAGAGACTGGAAAATATTATGAGAATTGTTAGAAAATAAGGTAACTCATATTTTGAGTGACTGGCGTTACTTCACCAGTTCGGTAACTCGTCCTTCCTTAACGAGGTATTACGCTCTCAAAATGAGTATGGGGAGCACAAACGCAATATAATGCTCACAAGATGTGTATGGGACACGGCTCACAGGATGAGTATAGGGTGCACAATAAACTACAGCTCCCAGGATGAGTATGGGGTGCACAATAAACTACAGCTCCCAGGATGAGTATGGGGTGCACAATAAACTACAGCTCCCAGGATGAGTATGGGGTGCACAATAAACAAGGCACTTCTAGAGTCAACAATTAGGAGTGATTAAGAGGGCAAGTGATCATATAGAAAGGTCCCCTTCCCGTAGAACAAAATTTTCAGCCCATACAGCGGTTAAATTTTCAATAATAAAATATACTTAATCAGATTATAACATATATTATACCATATCCAACAAGTAAGGTTTTTCGTAGTATATCGCACCGAGTTTGTTTTATTTAAACTTATTTTAAGACCAAACAAGAGAGCAGTAATATAAGACTAACCTTGAGGGCACTGCAGTAGAACATCAGCGTTCAGAATGGTGAAATTCTTGAGAAAAGTGGAGGGGATTTCAATCCTTCCACCAAAATGTGCCCTGTTGTACGTCCGCTGCTGAATCCGTCCCTGTATATACAGCGCCGGATCACCTACTAACTTCACCTCAGCCTGTAACCACTCATGCTGAGCAAGGTTCCCATACTCCATTATGTAATCTTCTACTTTTAAGAAGAACTTTATCTGTAAGTCTTCATCACTAGTTCTTACAAACCAAAACTTAATCGAGTCTTCAAAGGTTGTAATTACCGGGTTCTCCTTGACAACACACTCTGAAACAGTAACGTTAGAGTCTTAGTTCTCAGTCAAGTGGCACTTAAGTCCATATATATAGTAGGTTTAGCATCCTTTTTCTTTAGGGATATTCCTGCGCGGGCCTTAAACCTCTTGCTGGCCCACTTAGTGTTGTTCTATCTGTTGTTGATTCAACTAAAGGAATATTTCTTCTAAATATGTTTCAAATGGAATACCATTCAGTATTATCGGAGCCTCACACCTGTGTCACACCTGTTACAATGTCACACCTGTTACAATGTGTGTCAGATGTGATGGAGGGATTGTTTCGACGCCTCACACCTGTCACACACCTGTCACAGAGCTGAGGGAGGAGGACTAGGACGATGGGGGGGGGTTAAAGCTCAAGCCCCCCCCCCCACCCCAGCTCAGCTCAGCTGTCAGAGTCAAACCTTTCCTCCTGTCAACTGATATTAATGATTCACATACAAATCGCTCCCTAAATGACGTTCCTGCTTCATATTGATAACCATCTGGGGTATCCGGCGGTGCCCGGGTCTACAATACACTCCACATCCTCACTACCATGGCCTGCCTGCCAAATGGTTACAAAAATTGCTTTACGGTATAGCCTGTTACCTTTCTCGGATAAAATAGTATAACGATAAATGTTTCATTGAAACATTTCCCTTTCACATAGGAAGGGAACAACTTATTGATAATCGGGTCTCCCGTAGCTATCGACCCATAACCATCATCGCCCATGGCAGGGCCCAGGAGCTAGAAACCCCATATACCTTATTCCCTTTTTCGTATATGATGGGGAAGCCAGGCAACGTTTGATAAAATTCAGTCAACGGAGACAGAATGCTGAGTGGACGGTCTGATTCACTTTCGAATTTAATAGAATATCGCACTCAAATTCAGACGTTCAGTATTCACTATTTTCTCGTCAAAAGTTTAAACTAAATTCCTTAGAATAAACAATAACATTCAACTAGTTTTCTACAGTGGTCCGCTCTTTTCCTAAAGTAGACAGCTTCCTGTATAGGAAAGTGGACAGTGTCCGGGGCTGTACTTACCGTCACACAGGCAGTGGACAACACAAGGGGACAGTGGACAGTGTCCAGGGCTGTACTTACCGTCACACAGGCAGTGGATAACACAAAGTGGACAGTGACAGTGTCCGAGGCTGTACTTACCATCGTACAGGTGGGAGTCAGGAGGCAAGTGACTCTTCACCACCACCATCACTACCACCATCACCATCACACTGAGCAACATCCTCATCTTCACTGCTGGAAACAATAAATAAATAAATAGCTTTAGTTAACAATTAGTTTTTTGGCATTAATTTTGTTGCATTGTTCTCAAATCTTATTTTTTCCTCATAGCGGACAAGCCATTCTGCGACATGCTGCAAATTCAGTTACGAAGACTGAGACGGAAACATGCATGGGGTCACCTCCATGGCGACGTGCATAGCAATAGTCACTGTCCGTACCTGTTGCTATACTTAGTTGATGACTCGTCGTACCTGTTGCTATACGAGTGTTCATGACTCGTCCGTACCTGTTGCTATACTAGTGTTGATGACTCGTCTGTTGCTGTTGCTATACTAGTGTTGATGACTCGTCTGTTGCTGTTGCTATACTAGTGTTGATGACTCGTCTGTTGCTGTTGCTATACTAGTGTTGATGACTCGTCCGTACCTGTTGCTATACTTAGTTGATGACTCGTCCGTACCTGTTGCTATACTAAGTTGATGACTCGTCCGTACCTGTTGCTATACTAGTGTTGATGACTCGTCTGTTGCTGTTGCTATACTAGTGTTGATGACTCGTCCGTACCTGTTGCTATACTTAGTTGATGACTCGTCCGTACCTGTTGCTATACGTGTTGATGACTCGTCCGTACCTGTTGCTATACGAGTGTTAATGAATCATCCGTTGCTGTTGATAAACAAGTGTTCATGACTCGTCCGTACCTGTTGCTATACTAGTGTTGATGACTCGTCTGTTGCTGTTGCTATACTAGTGTTGATGACTCGTCTGTTGCTGTTGCTATACTAGTGTTGATGACTCGTCTGTTGCTGTTGCTATACTAGTGTTGATGACTCGTCTGTTGCTGTTGCTATACTAGTGTTGATGACTCGTCCGTACCTGTTGCTATACTTGTGTTGATGACTCGTCCGTACCTGTTGCTATACGAGTGTTAATGAATCGTCCGTACCTGTTGCTATACTAGTGTTGATGACTCGTCCGTACCTGTTGCTATACTAGTGTTGATGACTCGTCCGTACCTGTTGCTATACCAGTGGAGGTATAACAGTGAAGCTTCCAGCTCTCCCTCTCTCTGCCTTGGTAAAGCAGGGAATGAGAGACCCGCGCGAGAGGCATCAGTAGCCGTCGGAGGATATCATCATGTTACGTACGTGTTAAAGGTCACGACTTACGTCTTAAGAGTTTGGTTTTTGTTGTTAAGCTTCATTATAATGAATATCGTATCGTATTTTGCATATATTGATATTCAAAGCTACTTGTTTAATGTATACCAAGGTAAACCATCATTTCCTCCTGTTAACTAGATTATTACTACATTGGGGTCTGTGTGTATTCTACGATGAGGGTTGTCTGAATACTACAGTGAGTTCTTCCTGTATACTAGAGCGATGCTTGCCTGTACACCACAGTAATGGCTACCAACATACTTAAACACTAGCAACGCGAGTCGTCAATGAAGGGTTTCCATTGTATTGCAGCGAAGGATGCAAACATATTACACAAGGGCTGCCAACATACTGTACAAGGGCTGCCAACATACTGTACAAGGGCTGTCAACATACTATGCAAAGGCTACCAACATATTTATTTATTTTTTTATATACAAGAAGTTACATTGGGGGGTTAACAGAGAATATAGAAAATAAGTTGAATTAATATTCTTGTAAAGTCACTAGTACGAATAGCGTTTCGGGCAAGTCCTTAAACCAACAGAAATTTTTTTGATAAATTAACAGTAAAATTGATAAAAAATGTTAGCAGGTATTAGGTATTTAACATTCTATACAAGGGCTGCCATATACAGCTACAGAGGTGCCGGTCGGCCGAGCGGACAGCACGCTGGACTTGTGATCCTGTGGTCCTGGGTTCGATCCCAGGCGCCGGCGAGAAACAATGGGCAGAGTTTCTTTCACCCTATGCCCCCTGTTACCTAGCAGTAAAATAGGTACCTGGGTGTTAGTCAGCTGTCACGGGCTGCTTCCTGGGGGTGGAGGCCTGGTCGAGGACCGGGCCGCGGGGACACTAAAAAGCCCCGAAATCATCTCAAGATAACCTCAAGAAAATACAGCAAAAGTCCCTCTGCTCTAGACAACAGAAGGACTATCTACATACTACGAAAGGGTTGCCCACATATTACAGAGGCGCTGCCATCATATATAACAACAACATATTGCAAAGGTGCTACCAAAAAAAACTACTGAAAGATTGAAAACCCACAACACGACTTTTCCCCCCACATAAATTTTATTTAGGCACGTATCTGTCACAAAATTATTATTTACCGTACAAAAATATGTAAACAAATTCTTGATAACAATTCATAACAATAATGTTAATTATTAAATAACAAGAGAAAATAATAACTGCATAATAGCTACGCAAAGATTGATATTACGTCAACGTCGAGCCGGAATAACTACTCCGTGGCAATCTCTTCCCCCGTAACTACCACTGGGCGGTAACTAACGACACAGCCATAGGGGAACAAGAACTGCCCCGCTCCTGTGCCAGGTAAGTCCACTACGGGCTCACCATAGCCCGTGCTACTTGCCCCGCTCCTGTGCCAGGTAAGTCCACTACGGGCTCACCATAGCCCGTGCTACTTGCCCCGCTCCTGTGCCAGGTAAGTCCACTACGGGCTCACCATAGTCCGTGCTACTTGCCCCGCTCCTGTGCCAGGTAAGTCCACTGGGGGCTCACCATAGCCCGTGCTACTTGCCCCGCTCCTGTGCCAGGTAAGTCCACTACGGGCTCACCATAGTCCGTGCTACTTGCCCCGCTCCTGTGCCAGGTAAGTCCACTACGGACTCACCATAGCCCGTGCTACTTGGAACTTGTTTCGAGTAGCTGAATCTATGACAACAACACATGAATAAGGTGGTCCCAGTACACGCCCAACCCTCACCCCGTCAACACTAGCAAAGACCTGCTCGACCGTCCAATCTTTGAGCAGCCAATTACCACTACTATCAACCTTCCCTGTAGCGACCGACGGATACCTTTGCTACTCCAAAACAAAGAGCTAAGTAGATGTTGTAGTTGGCTAATGCCAAATGTTTGTTTAATTATGGGTCCTGACGGCTGTGTGGACAGCGCTCGTTGTTCGTAATCCTTAGAGTTCAGGTTCGATCCCCGGCGAAGGTGGAAACAAATGGGCAGTTTTTTGTACCCTAATTTTCCAATACTGCTGTTCACCTAGCAGTAAATAGGTACCTGGGACCAGATTCACGAAGCAGCTACGCAAGCACTTACGAACCTGTCCATCTTTTCTCAATCTTTGGCGGCTTTGTTTACAATTATTAAACAGTTAATGAGCTCCGAAGCACCAGGAGGCTGTTTATAACAATAACAACAGTTGATTGGCAAGTTTTCATGCTTGTAAACTGTTTAATAAATGTAACCAAAGCCGTCAAAGATTAAGGAGAGATGTACACGTTCGTAAGTACTTGCGTAAGTGCTGTCGTGAATCTGGCCCCTGGGCGTTAGACAGCTGTTACGGGCTACTTCCAAGCAATGTATGTGTTTGAAAATTAGGATTAAGGACTTGCACGCAACGCTATGCGTGCTAGTGGCTGTGCAAGAATGAAAACAAATAAATAAATAAAATAAGATATAAGTTTCTAGGGCTGGGCGGTTATAACGAGGCGCAACGCTGGGACACGCAGACGTGTGTATGTGTTATTTAATTTCATAGATGAGTGTTGAAGCAGACCACACACTAGAAGGTGAAGGGACGACGACGTTTCGGTCCGTCCTGGACCATTCTCAAGTCACAATCGACTTGAGAATGGTCCAGGACGGACCGAAACGTCGTCGAAAGATTGAAGAAATTGTTTATGTAATAATCTAAGATGAGGTCTGATAAAGACCTTTTGTGCCCTCTGTAATGCTTTTGCGCTACCGCTCACAGGATGAGTATGGGGCGCACAATAAACTAGCCGCCTTCGGCGGCAACAATCAATCAAAAGTCGTCGTCCTTTCACCTTCTAGTGTGTGGTCTGGTCAGCATAGAAAACGTGGATATCTGTGAGTCGCTACTTTTCATAGAACTTTGTAATGTGTCCGTTGGGGACGAGAGCGTACAAGAGGAGCTACTAGAGAACACGGGGATGAGGACAGGACATGTGGATGAAATATACTTAAGGCGCCCTACGACCCACTCGCATACACTCGTATTCAACATAAGAACTGCTTTCGAAACGTGTGTAAGGAATCATTCGTAATCTTGTATACCACTTACGACAGACCAATCCTGGAGTATGCAGTTCCAGCCTGGAATCCATACCTAGTTAAACACAAGACAAAGTTAGAGAAGATTCAGAGGTATGCCACCAGACTAGTCCAAGAGCCGAGTGATATGAGCTAAGAGGAAATGCTACGGAAATTAGCCCTCGCGTCCAAGACAAAATGAGTTAGGGGAGACATGATCACCACGTACAAAATTTTCAGAGGAACTGACAGTGGACAAAGACAAATTATTTAGCACGGGCGGAACATGAGAACACGAACAAGGGAACACAGGTGGAAACTTAGTACCCAAATGAGCCACAGATACATTATAATTGTTTTTCAGTGTCAGTAGTTGACAAATGGAATGCACTAGGCAGTGATGTGGTGGAGGCTGACTCCATGCACAGTTTCAAATGTAGATATGATAGAGGCCAGTAGGCTCAGGAACCTGTACACCTGTTGAGAGGTGGGACCAAAGAGCCAGAGCTCAACCCCTGCAAGCACAACTAAGTGAGTACACACAGAAAGAGCTTTCGTCTGGCAGCGATGCGTAGGTTTGGGGCAGTGAAAACACGGCAGCTCTCTTACCCCTCTGGGCACTGCTGTTCACCGTCACGCAGTGGGAGTTGGTGCAGCCTCCCGTGTTACAGCGTCACTCCTGCGTCACGGGCCTTGTTACAGCGTCACTCCGGCGTCACGGGCCTTGTTACAGCGTCACTCCTGCGTCACGGGCCGTGTTACAGCGTCACTCCTGCGTCACGGGCCTTGTTACAGCGTCACTCCGGCGTCACGGGCCTTGTTACAGCGTCACGGGCCTTGTTGTAGCGTCCCCCCCCTGCGTCACGGGCCTTGTTACAGCGTCACTCCGGCGTCACGGGCCTTGTTACAGCGTCCTTCCGGCATCACGGGCCTTGTTACGGCGTCACGGGCCTTGTTACAGCGGCCCTACTGCGTCACGGGCCTTGTTACAGCGGCCCTATTGCGTCACGGGCCTTGTTAGGGCGTCACGGGCCTTGTTACAGCGGCCCTACTGCGTCACGGGCCTTGTTACAGCGTCACTCCGGCGTCACGGGCCTTGTTACAGCGTCACGGGCCTTGGCGGGATTTAAAGAGCCTCACTGCCTGGTAACCACTTCTAGGCCGGCACTTAAAGACGTTACTCCCGTTACATCCTGGTAACACAACCCGAAACTGTCTCTATTTTCCGCTTGTTACAACTTGTAAAAAAGTTGTTACATCTTGGCTTAACGTGTTTATGACGTATTAGAACGTTGTTACAACTTGCTGTAACTGGTTAGGAAGTGTTAAAAACTTGTTCGAACGTTGTACCAACGTCGTAGTTTCGGTGTGTGTTTGGCGGGTTACATACCGACGCCAAATTATCATTTCGCGTAATCATTCCTACTTTGCGACGCTTTTCCCGTCAACTCTTTATCGCGTCGCTGACTCATTATTTTTTTGCGACAACGCCACATCGCGAAAATATATTTGTCAGTTGGAGATAAATCTCCCAGTATCACTTGAGCGCGAGACGTCTCTCGGGGTTACCACACCGTTGCTTGAGCATCTCAGGTCGTCATTATATCCTCACTACCTTCAACATTTTCCCCACTACAGCGGCCCTGAAGATGCTGGGCTCCGTGGGGGTGGTGTGGGCCTCTCTATGGACCTTGTGCGCCGCTCAGGCTTATATCAGTAAGTTTCTCCAGATTGATTGATAGAGATTGAGTCAGCCAAGAGGCGGCACGGGCATAGAATAACTCGTACAAGTCTCTCAATGTCTTAGGCATTAAGAAAGTGTTTAAGTTTAACCAAATGACGAATGGTTTCGTGTTTGAGATGAGGAGCTTTGAGGGTTTCCTATGCCAACTACACTTTTTATGTAGGGCGTACGTAAATCTGTGTATCTATGTATTTACGTATGTAGGTTAGCTTAGCATTTTAAAAGCACCGAATCACCTGTGGTTGATTGTTCAATAAACCCTTGAGCTATATGTTTAATACAGGCGATGAGTCACAATAACGTGGCTGAAGTGTGTTGACCAGACCACACACTAGAAGTTGAAGGGACGACGACGTTTCGGTCCGTCCTGGACCATTCTCAAATCGACTTGAGAATGGTCCAGGACGGACCGAAACGTCGTCGTCCCTTCAACTTCTAGTGTGTGGTCTGGTCAACATGTTTAATACATCTCTAACCCTGTCCATGGAGGACAGAAGAAAATGTATATATGCTGGTTAGTATTGTAAATGTGTGGCCACGTCTGTGGTAGAAATTAATAAAAAAGAACTGCTTTTAACCGGGATGATGCTTGTAACAATTGATTAACTCCCAGGTACGCAGTTACTCCTAAAGTGGACAGATGCATCAGGTATAAGGAATCGTGGCCAAACGTCTCGTCTTGCCCGAGAATCTAACCAGAGACCATTCGGCTTTGAGCTAATTGCTTTACTACCCCCAAGGTGGTTACAGTTGCTATTAACATGAAATTAATCATTTGATAAGTCTATAAATTACAGGTATCATAAAACATACAATTAGAACCGGATTCAATATATTTCTAACTAAACGGCTAACTAAAGAGCAATTAAGCTTACACATAATAGGTAGGGAGGCAGTCGGCCGAGCGGACAGCACGCTGGACACGTGATCCTAGGGTCCCAGGTTCGATCCCGGGCGCCGGCGAGAAACAATGGGCAGTTTGTTTCACCCTATGCCCCTGTTACCTAGCAGTAAAATAGGTACCTGGGTGTTAGTCAGCTGTCACGGGCTGCTTCCTGGGGGTGGAGGCCTGGTCGAGGACCGGGCCGCGGGGACACTAAAAGCCCCGAAATCATCTCAAGATAACCTCAAGAAGATATATATATATACATATCACGATCACAGATATTAAAAAGACATACCTATAAGGACTTGTGTAGAGAGATATTGTAATTTAGAGAAGCTGTATGTTATTAGTTCATACTTTTCATAGTTTTGTTTTTAAAGCTAAAAATACTATCTTGAGGATCGACTTGAGAATGGTCCAGGACGGACCGAAACGTCGTCGTCCCTTCAAATTCTAGTGTGTGGTCTGGTCAACATACTATCTTGAGGTTATCTTGAGATGATTTCGGGGCCCCAGACTTTACTAGACTAAAAGATTCGTAATTTGTACACGTTTATTGGTAAATTATCTTTATTCGTCTACTAATTATTCGTTTGTTTAATAACAATTTAACAAATTATCATGGAAAAATTGTTGATTAATATAAATAATGAGAGGCGCGGGTAGAAGTTGGGAGGTGGAACTTGCCACAATTCCTGCGGCAGAGAGAGTACGTAGCGGCTTCACCTACAGCAAAAAAATCATCTCTAAGATAACTGGTTATTCGTCTCGTGTACACGTAAATACCTCACCCACCTCCTTCCGGAACATTAAGTGCACATTTACTAACGGTACCCGGCTCTCGGAAAGTATTGACTAAGATCTGTAACGATGTTCTAGGTCCCTGTACTTGATTAGTTTTCTGGGTCTCCCTGGAGGTGGTTTGCCCCGCCTCCCTCAGCTGTACTGTAAGGTAGATAGGTATCAGCCAATGTAGCCGGACCCGTGTGGTCCCACATAACCTGTTTCCCATCCCTCCATGGCTGCAGGGTGACCCCATCTGGGCGCTTGTGACTGTTGTCAGGGCTGCACAACTGAGGTTCTCTTTATGCTGGACACCCCCGCTCTCTAGCCTTCATGATGTCATTGACGGCTTCAAGTGTAGCAATCTTTACCTGGTTGATACCTGGTTGATGGGGTTCTGGGAGTTCTTCTACTGCCCAAGCCCGGCCCGAGGCCAGGCTTGACTTGTGAGAGTTTGGTCCACCAGGCTGTTGCTTGGAGCGGCCCGCAGGCCCACATATCCACCACAGCCCGGTGGGTATGGTGGGCCCTCTGACTTGTGCAGACGCCCAATACTTGGGGGCCCGATAGTCCAGGCGAGTCCACAAGGCTTTTACCAATGCTTGCTAGATTATCATTTTTCTTCAGTTGGGGTTAATTGTTTATCTAATCTGACAGAGGTTCTTAACCGCGAGTGAAGAGTTTAATGTTTCAAAGGGTAATTACTTTCCTTGAGCGATCCCTAATTCCGCCCAAGACGGAATTAACACCAATACCACCAATTAACAAAAATCTAGCGAGCATTAGTAACGTACCGATTGTTAAATCAACTGTTATCATGAGGTTATCTTGAGATGATTTCGGGGCTTTAGTGTCCCCGCGTCCCGGTCCTCGACCAGGCCTCCACCTCCAGGAAGCAGCCCGTAACAGCTGACTGACACCCAGGTACCTATTTTACTGCTAGGTAACAGGGGGCATAGGGTGAAAGAAACTCTGCCCATTGTTTCTCGCCGGCGCCCGGGATCGAACCCGGGACCACAGGATCACAAGTCCAGCGTGCTGTCCGCTCGGCCCACCGGCTCCCCAAGAAAAACAGCACATATATGACTTATTGCTTATAGTCACTATTATGCTTATAAATAAGTAGATATGTGACATCTGTGAATAGATTATTGATGTATTATCAAACTGTGCAAATGGTATATAGTATAACGTGCTATACAAATGTCATTGTAAATTTCGAATATCAAATCACAATTAAGAGTACATTTCCCATAGGTCTATCAGGAATCCTGATAGACCTATCGAGCTAATTTAAGGCCAGCTGCCTCCTTAAGGATGCCGCCCATAGCATCTACCTTGACATCTGGTTATCTGTTTTCTGCTAGGTGAACAGAGGCATCAGGTATAGGAAAACGTGTCCGCGCATCTCGCCCTGCCCGGGATCCAACTCGGGGTCCAACTGGTTGCAAACTACGCAATAGGATTTACTCTTGGATTCGATATTTATTTACACGAATGTTGATAATGGCGACGAGTCCTCGTTGGGAGGAGGGGGGGCGGCGAGGCCTCGCTAGGAGGAGGGTGGGGGCGAGGCCACGCTAGGAGGAGGGGGGGGGGGCGGCGAGACCACGCTAGGAGGAGGGGGCGGCGAGACCACGCTAGGAGGAGGGTGGGGGCGAGGCCACGCTAGGAGGAGGGGGGGGGGCGGCGAGGCCACGCTAGGAGGAGGGGGGGCGAGGCCACGCTAGGAGGAGGGGGGGCGAGGCCACGCTAGGAGGAGGGTGGGGGCGAGGCCACACTAGGAGGGCGGCGAAGCTGTAAGAACATCACTGTGACATTAATACATGTGAGAGTTCGTTTGTACTGGTGACGCCACACTCCACACCCACACACACAGAGAGAAGTTGGGCCGCCTGTGTCACCCTTCACTACTCCTCCCGTCATCTCCACTTGTCATAACATCACAAATATGATGTACTAAAAATTCTCCTAAGACCCCACGCATTGGGGAAAAAGAGCTTTTGCGAGCCACTATATAATTTATAGTACATTATATTTTATCCGTTGGGGATTTTAGCGTCAAAATGATGTTTAATTATTCGGGAAGATGTTTTGCTTCAGTTATAAGGAGTTAGGGTATGAAGGGGATGAGTCACAATAACGTGGTTAAAGTATGTTGACCAGATCACACACTAGAAGGTGAAGGGACGACGACGTTTCGGTCCGTCCTGGACCATTCTCAAGTCGATTGTCCATGGTCCAGGACGGACCGAAACGTCGTCGTCCCCTTCACCTTCTAGTGTGTGATCTCGAGTTAGGGTATGTTAGGGTAGTTTAGCACATCATTTTTGTGATGTTGTGACAACTGAAGAGGTCCTCAGCCTGGATTGAAGACTGGCTGTGAGGACACTAATTGCCTTGACGGTCTCTAATTGGTAATTAAGTGGTCATTGAGTCAATTGTTCCCCGTGTCTGTGCCGTTCCGTAATATTAGCCAGCCTTACTGTATGGTAAAGTTTATAGACTATGAACTATTTGTGAAGTTTGTTTAAATTTGGTTATTCTAGATCTCGAGACACTGGTTGAGAACCTCTGTCAGATGATGTTTTTATTAGACAGCCAATTAACACCAACTAAAAGCTATAAATAATAATAATTTAGCGAGCATTGGTAATGCACCGATTGGAAGTTAAATAACGCTTTTACATGTTTTCCAATAAACATTTTGCGACCTAATGACGGTATACCACAAGTTTACCTCCCTCCTCTGTGTTGCTGGGGATCATCACTACACCAAAATATTGTGACCACAGCAGTCTGTGATCACAACACTCTGGCTAGGGGACCCTCTTGATTAGGGGTCACAGTGTTTGATAAACTGTGAATAGATTATTGCTGTATTATTATCAAACTGTGCAAACAGCATATCGGTGATATAGCTCTCTCATCTTATTTTTCTCTTGCAATGTATCTTTATCATTTATCAATTCTGATTGAAATTACCTACTTAAAATTATCTGCTAGATTAAGGACCTGTCCGAAACGCTGCGCGTACTAGTGGCTTTACAAGAATGTAAATACTGTACTATCCAATGTATTCTCACAAACCCAATGTACCTTCTTGTATATATATAAATAAAATAAAAATAAAATAAACTAATTTTTGGGTTCAGTTGGGTCTGGGATGTATAATAAACGAACTGAACTTTGTGGGGGGGTTTTCAATCTCTTTATATGTGTATATATAATAATTTTCTATAGGTGACTGTAAGTTTAAGTACGATGACGTCCCCCCTGAACACATCCGACCGTTCCTATCGAGGAAAGACATGGACCACTTCGTGTACCCTGTGATGGAAGAGGAGTTGAGGGTGCCGGTGCTGAAGAGCCGTGTGGTGCATCTCCCACACGGCTCTTCAGTCATGGTCTCCTGTCCCGGCCAAGACAATCACCTCCTGGTCTTCGGAAGGGTCAGGCCCACCAGGCCCGACAGGATGCACTACAGTCGCATCACATGCACTGATGCTGGCCTCATGCATGTTGATACAGTAAGTTCTGTATGCTTGGCTGTCGTGTCTGTACCCTCAATATTTGGTGAACTGTTTTGTGAATTGTCTTTGGCTGTGAAGTGTGTGGGGGACTCCGTAATGCTTATTTTGCATGGATATTCTTGACCGGGTCTTAAGCTGACCCAGTAAGTGCTACTTAATTTGTTTTAATCTCGTGAGGTGGATGAATGTTTAGGGCTCAAACGTCAACTTCAACAAGGTTTTGTCCAGTGTGTTTAAAAACTTTCTACACTATTAAATCTCAGGGGTGATCTTATTTGAGGCGCAAATCTGCAATGTGGTGGATGTCTGAGTTGTTTGTCGGTTATTTTTTCCACAATGTTTACATTTCGGTACCGTAGCCTGATGCGGTGTATTTCTGTTCGCGTGTTATAGTGATGATGTGAGGCTACCGTGGTGGTACTGGGCTTCCACACCGCCACGGATATCCATCCTCATCTTTGTCCTTTACTCGTTACTACGTTATTCTATCTCAGCTTTCATTTTGTAGTTCTCTCGGGGTATCAGTGCTCGTTCAGATGTCTCCACTTACTTCCTCAGCCGATCAAGTGGAGTGATCTCAGCTGTCTCAAGAAGCCGCAGTCCTCCATTAGAATGGGCAAGACGTGTGGGCAGAGAGGCACCGAGTGGATCATCGGATGGGATATCAAGAGACGCTTCTTCAAGCAGATAACTCTCTGCTATAACGTCCAGCAGGAGACGCCGCTCTTCACCTCCCATCGCATCTATGGCAGGTCAGCCTCACAGTAGGATCTAAAACCTGTATCAGAATTAACATGTGACGTCACTGTCACCTCATAGGGAAAACAAATGAAAAATCTAATTTTATTTTCGTTGGGTGACATTAAATCGATTTGGGGCTGTTTATAGGGTATCGATAACTTTGGAGGGCAGGTACGTATGCTCTGATCAGGGGCCAGATTCACGAAAGCACTTACGCAAACACTTACGAACGTGTATATCTTTCCTCGATCTTTGAGGGCTTTGGTTACATTTATTAAACAGTTTACAAGCATGAAAACTTGCCAATCAACTGTTGTTATTGTTATAAACAGCCTCCTGGTGCTTCGGAGCTCATTAACTGTTTAATAAGTGGAAACAAAGCCGCCAAAGATTGAGAAAAGACGTACAGGTTCGTAAGTGCTTTCGTGAATCTGGCTCCAGGTCTTAAACCCTTCTCCAAGCGACTTCAAAATCATTTTATTAATTAGATTCATGTATGCCAAGTTGCGGGATGCTGAATTGTTCCGCTTTAGTAATGCACTAAAACTGGCACAAATGTAGAAAAGTAAGAAACATGTCAAGATCAGTTCAGAGCTGCCAACTGTGGAAACTTCATAAAAGTGACCTAGGTTGACCAGAGCACACACTAGAAGGTGAAGGGACGACGACGTTTCGGTCCGTCCTGGACCATTCTCAATCGACTTGAGAATGATCCAGGACGGACCGGAACGTCGTGGTCCCTTCACCTTCTAGTGTGTGGTCTGATCAACATACTTTAGCCACGTTGTTGTGACTCCTCGCCTGCATATGGTGACCTATCTTGAGGTAAAAATCTTGAGATGATTTCGGGGCTTTTTAGTGTCCCCGCGGCCCGGTCCTCGACCAGGCCTCCACTCCCAGGAAGCAGCCCGTGACAGCTGACTAACACCCAGGTACCTATTTTACTGCTAGGTAACAGGGGCATAGGGTGAAAGAAACATTGCCCATTGTTTCTCGCCGGTGCCTGGGATCGAACCCAGGACCACAGGATCACAAGTCCAGAGTGCTGTCCGCTCGGCCGACCGGCTCCCTATGTGTTACAATAATATCAGTTTAAAGTAGTCATCAGAGGAACGGGAAGCCATTTACATGGTTATATTTTATGATTAAAATGAACCAATTCTAGCAAATTTCTTTCGAAGTAGACTATATAATCTGCTTAACTAGGCATCAATTGGAAAACAAACATTAGCTGAATTTATCTGAGGGTCACTATCTCTCTAGAGGCCTCGATAAGGGACAGGAAGCCGGCGACTTTTCAGGTCTCTCCCATGTTGTTTTCCTAATTTTATCCAGTTTGATTTTGAACTTTTTTTTCAGGGTGGGGGGGGACTTTATGGCTTTGGCAGGTAGGTGGTTCCATGGGTTTATAATCCTAAGGGTGATGAAACCTCTCCTGTTTTCTGTCCTGCATTGTAGTTTGTTGAGCTTGAAACTGTTTGTTTCTTGTTTGTTTTACAACTGACCTTATGAAGTTGTCTTGATCAACATCCTCCAAATTGTTCGGTATTTTAAAAGTTTCGATGTGCTAGTCAGCCTTATCATGTCTGGTTTGCAGTGTTGTTAGTCCCGTAGTCCTCAACCATCCCTAGTATGAGAGCTGACTTAGTTCTGGGGTCATTTTTATCACCTGGTGTTGAATGTCTCAAAGCAGGTATACTGCTGAGGGTGAGGTCTCCCTGCTTGGATCCAGTGGTCCAAATTTGCCACTGGATCCGTACTTGGATCCAGTGGTGCAGCAGAGATTTATACAGTTGAATAAATAACTGCTTTTTCCTTAAAGTCGAAGGTTCATTTAACTCTTCCTAGGGTTTGGTTCATTTTTCACCGCACCTCATATTTCCTTGTGCAACTTTCAATGGGACTGGTGGATGCTAAATCTAAGGTAATTTTCTTTATTAATCTGCTGCAAGGTAAGGTTGTTGATTTAGTAGTTGTGATGTACGCTGTTATGCCCCCATAACATGCCATAACATGTTATGCTCGGTTTGATTATATCGCATCTTATGGGAATACCCCTTAATTCGTTCTGTTCACCTGCTTTAAACATTCGTGTGGGTAGTGGTACCATACATACCAGTGGTATGTATCTTTAATGTGAACATTAATGTTAACATTCAAGGTATTGGCTGCCCTTTTATCGTCTATTATAACAGATTAGTCTCGTCGTTTAACTGCCCTACAATGTCTGTTATGGTTTTATTTCTTATGCAGGCATAGACTGTTTTTCTTTGAAAGAAAACTTGCTGAATGCATAGATTTTTGGGGGGACTGATCTGATTTCATGGGTGACTGAATTTAAAACCCTTCTGTACGTCTCATAATGTTATTCTTTTGGATTGATACCTGCTCCAAAGGCTTCGCGTGGTTATTAGTTTCTTTTACTGCCTGTATCGTGCCTCTAGTTTTCTTCTTTTTTTCTTTCTAGGCACACATTGGTGAACAAAGTTTAGTGATTTATTTGTGAAATTTTCCCCCTGATGCTTCTATGCCTTGATCTCCTACAACATCCTCCAGGTGTTTCGCAATTCCTCTCCCATCCTGGACCATTGTGGATTTCTAACATTGTAAATTGCATATCATTTGCGAGGTAGTAAAGCACCTTCATATATTAATATTGCATGTTTAGCCTACCTGTAGAATGACAATTGAAGTAATATTGTTCCGTGGCCTGAAATCACTCCCGTGAACACTCCTTTCACAAAAACAGAACTGTGCATTTAAGTGTTGTCATTTTACACTTGCAACAATTTGGGCATACAATTCTTGCAAATGCAAAATACAATTGTATGGCATGAGCTCGTAGCTGGTATATAACCAGGTACATCAAGGCACTCTTTCTTATGTTCTTAAGACAGAACACGAAACAATGGGTATAAATTGCTTAAGTTTAGATTTAGGAAAGACTTGGGTAAATACTGGTTCGGTAACAGGGTTGTTGATTTGTGGAACCGGTTGCTGCGTGGCTTGGTGGAGGTGGGGTCCCCCGATTGTTTCAAGCGTGGGTTGGACAAGTACATGAGTGGGATTGGGTGGTTATAGATAGGAGCTGCCTCGTATGGGCCAATAGGCCTTCTGGAGTTATCTTTGTTCTTATGTTCTGCTCCAAAGCTGGTTCGGGGACTTGTATTAGTGTATGAAAAATTGTTCTTAGTTTCTTTTATGAATATGACTTTGAATATGAGGTACATGGCCTCCTTGGTATGTCACCATATGGGCTTCTTTTGTTTTCCAAATGATCAAAAACTTACGAAATTCTTAACTCTAATTACAACATATTTATTATACAGTTTTTTTTAGTTTAGTTCATTTATTATGCACCCCATACCCATCTTGTGGGCGGTAGTGGAAAGGGTTACAGAGGCACATAATGGGCTCAGGGACTGAACCCCACAATTCATTTAGCTAAGCAAGTTACAATCTTGATGAGCTAGTTACAAAATTCAATATAAGTCATCACATCAACAATGGGTTCGAGATCGACCTCAAGTACAGGTTCTAAATTAAGCAACTGACATATGTGGAGAGCTAGTGTCACAATTTATATGTTTGTCCTGCACACCGCCCCCCATCCAGTGGGCAGCGGTGGATAGGTTACAATCACTTAGTTACTACCTACAGTTAGCAAACTGGGGATATTTGGCTAAAATTTCTGGTAGCAGATCATTTTGAATGAAATATTGACACATCGCTGGAACATTGGTTATAAAATTGTCTCTAAATTCACGTATCTTTTCGCACTCCATCACATAGTGACGGAGGGTGTGCGAATAATTTTGTTGACACAGTTTACATTTGGTCAGGTCTACATCAGCAGATAATGAGAATTCCCAGAGATACTTGTAACCGAGTCTAAGCCGAGCAGCAGTAACATCTAGAAGTCTGCTGATTTTATTGGATGATCCATAGATGTGTGGCTCCTCTTGCATGATAGTATGATGATAGATGGAATTACTGGTGTCAATTTCACTTTGCCTCAGATCTACAAGATCTTGTTGAAGTTCTCGGTGTACTGCTGCTCTCAGATTGCTCATTGACAATCCAAGGTTACACTCAACGGCTCCTTTAAAGGCAGATTCTTTGGCTAACTTATCAGCTCTATCATGCATTCGGAGGCCAACATGAGATGGAGACCACATGAAATGGACTCTGTTACCATCCTTAATAATTTTGTTGTATTTGTGTCTAGCTTCGGACACGAGCATGTTACAGTTATGTCTTAAAGAGTTGAGAGCATTTAAGGATGATAAGGAGTCACTTACAATTAATGTATCAAGTTTGGAGACTTGTACACATTTCAGTGCAAGGATCAAGGCAAATAGTTCAGTCTGAAGGGTAGAGGCCCAGTTGTTTATACGGACTCCCCACTCAAAGTATAGGCCATCGCCCATTGTCAGGACAACTGCACTTCCAGCTGCACCCGTGGTGCGGTGTAGGGAACCATCAGTGTATATAATTTGAGAGAGAGAATGCTCTGTGGACAGAGCATCAATATGGCTTAAGGCGTTGAGCTTTGCCTCAAGACGAAGCTTGGGCTGATCTCTAATTTGCTTCTTGGGTGGAAAGGGAGGGATTAAAACTGGAAAGGGTGTAACCTCCCACGGTGCAGGAAAGTGCCGTTGTTGTTTCTCTTGGTACAAATCATGAATCCCGTACATTCTGAGTGGAGTTCCAGTTATTGTTATCCATTTGGAACCATTCTGGAGGGCTTCTGTGCAAGGATTAGGATGAGTTAGCCTAAGCATTTTTATACCAATTTGACAGTTAATTTCAGTAACACGATCAACAACGCTCAGAATATTAAGTTCCTTTCTCATATTAAGTATCTTTGTGGTACGAGGGCACCCAAGGAGGCTCCTCAAGGCTTCGTTCTGCAATTTTTCAAGCCCTCCAAGCTTTCTTTTAAGCATCAAAACAAGCAGAGGTGCAGCATAATCCACTAAAGATCTGATGCACAGTATCTGTAGAAGTTCACTGGATCATGCCACCAATGTTATCTGTAGGTTTATAGTCTGCAATCAAATGTATCTGTAACGGTTCTATTGTTACGTAAAGTATGGTGACAAATAAACACAGACACTAAGATACTATATATATATTTGGTCAAATATACAGAAGTACACAGGTGATACTTTGGTGTGAGTTGAGCGCACTGAGCGTCGGTACAGTATCTCGCAAGTGTCTGCTCTAGACCACACTTGAAAGTAGACTCTGGTTAATGTTTGCTATTCTGCTGCTTATATGCTCGGGCAACACCTCACCGTGTTGCCCGGGCAACGCCTCACCTCATTCATCTCTAAAGGTTGACAGGAATATTAACAATGCATTTGGAGTGAGTATATTATTGGGATAATCTACTCGCTACATATCATTTAATTTATTGGTACTAATAATGTGCGTAAATTACTTCCCAGCCCGACGGCCGCCATCACTCTAGTGGCCTCGACGGGGACATAAAACCGGCGGCTTGTCAAGTCCACCCCCCCTCCCTCTAACAAGTTATCCTGATGATTATTTCAGCTGGATTTTCAACGATGACTACTTTAGTATTTTGTTTCTATTGTAAACTGAACAACTGTTGTACACTAAATTTTATATTATGTATTATAATTAAATATTCTCACAAGTCCTGTGGTATCAACAGGAACATTGATGCTAAGGTGGTGAAGCCTTCACGACCTGGCTTCAGGGATGATGGGTTCTTCTCGTCTAACGTAAGGAATGCGTACACAGTGACCACACAGATATCCCTACTGCAGCGCCTCCTGAACACGGTGAGGCACTTGACTGGTGAAAATCAGCATTTCCTGGCCAAGGGACACCTGGCGCCAGATGGAGACTTCATCCTGGAGCCAGAGCAGGATGCCACCTACCAATACGCTAACGCGGTTCCACAGTGGCAGGCCATCAACAACGGTAACTGGAAGGTGAGACTTCTGCCTGACGGGGTAGAGTGATTTTCAGTTGCGTTGGTCAAAGGTGTTGGCATTTACCAGTGATGTGTAGCATAGTGGTCAGTGCAGTTGGCTCACAACCAATTGGTCCCGGGTTCGATTCCCAGGTAGGACAAGACATTATGGCACGTTTTCGTACATCTGATGCCTGTTCACCTAGCAGTGAATATAGGTGAACAGCTGTTGGGCAACTGCAGTGGGTTGTATTGTGGGTCATGTACTGTGGTTTCCCTTGGGGAAAACCTCGATAAGCTTAATTACACACAGAAATCACAATAGCGTGATGCATCAAATGAACAAATCCACAAGGGCCGTGACGAGGATTCGAACCTACGTCCGGGAGCATCCCAGACGCTGCCTTTATTGACTGAGCTACGACTTGGTCAAAAGAGTTGAAACCGAAGTTCTACTGAACTTACTGGATCCTGCAGCCTCTCCGAAGCACAAACCAGGGTTTTACACAACTCCCCCATGTACTCGAGCTATGTCAATAGGCCGTTCTCCCTCTTTGCCTTTACTTCATTACACACAAAAATCACAATTCAAATCCTCGTCACGGCCCTTGTGGATTTGTTCATTTGATGCATCATGCTATTGTGATTTCTATGTGTAAAAAAAATCTGGTATTAAGACTTGGCCCTTGACAATAGGAAACTTCACATTTCTCATTCTTCTAGCTGGTTTGACCAAGCATTTTTACCCATATGTTACTACTGATTTTCATGAAGATTAATTTTTATATTAAAAAAAAATTAACATTTGTATATTGCTGTTAAAGAACATACTCAAATACCTAGTCATCCATGACAACTCTCCCACTCGACAATTAACCAGAGGATGCTCCCACAAGGCAGCATCTTTGGACGTCTATTTCTTGCATATATCAATGACTTGCCAAATGTCTGATGTTTTTCAAGCTATACTATTTGCTGACAATACTTGCTTCATCTTTTCTAACCCCAATCCACAATCTCTAAACAACACTGTAAATAACAACAAATTTTAAAAACAAAAGTCAACTCGTATGTCGACTAACAAACTTGCTAAACTAAAGATGTACTACATTTTGTTTGGAAACGGTGTTGAACAAAATACGCCTTCAGGTAGACAATCCCTCATTTTTACTATTAAATGTTGATAAAGTGCCTTGGCCTATACATAGAAAAGTGCCTTGGCCTATACATAGAAAAGTGCCTTGGCCTATACATAGAAAAGTGCCTTGGCCTATACATAGAAAAGTGCCTTGGCTTCAGTATCACAGACAACACAGCCAAAAAGTTCTATAAAACATTTATGGGTTCACTCTCAAAAATCGGATAGTATGTCCCCCCACTCTACTCTTCTGCTATACTACTCGTTAATGAGCTGTCTCCTGTCTTAACTTATTGTATTTGTGCATCTCCCATCTTCGACTAGTCTCCAGTTCCTTGCTCAAGATTTCTGCAGCCTTGCCCCTGCCTACCTGCCCTAAGGTCTTTGGAATCGAATCGGTATAATTTATTTTAGCATTTTATGCTGAAGTAGTTAATATATAAATTCAAATTGGTACAATGTACCTATCATTACATTCATTTGTTAGCTTAAGGACCTGCACGAAACGCTTTGTGCGCTTGTGGTTTTGCAAGGATTTACCATTTAATCACCAGCATGTGTACTTTCACAACCCATTGTACCTTCTTGTATATGTATGTATATGTGTGTATGTATGTACAATTGCAAATCCTAAATGCCACAATAACCAAAAAATTTAAATTTAAAGTCATTAAAAATAATTTTAATAAAACTAGACAGAAGGTATAATGCCCTTTTGCTTGTAGAGGTTGGAGTTTGCTGTGCGGAGGCTGGCCAGGATGCGTGGTGCCACGTTTGAGGTGTGGACTGGCACTCATGGTGTGCTGAGGCTGCCCAACAACCACGGCCACCCTGTCTTCATCTTCCTTGGCAATAACCGGATGCCTGTTCCTGCTCTCATGTGGAAGGTTGTACTCAAAAACAATGATACAATTTTATATATATAATTACAGTACATATATAAATTATGCAAACAAGCCTGAATGGTCCCCCAGGACTATATGCGACTGAAAACTCACACCCCAGAAGTGACTCGAACCCATACTCCCAGGAGCAACGCAACTGGTAACTACAGGACGCCTTAATCAAAGGCGTCCTGTAGTTACCAGTTGCGTTGCTCCTGGGAGTATGGGTTCGAGTCAATTCTGGGGTGTGAGTTTTGAGTCATATATAAATTATGTATATTATATAAAATAATTATTATATATATATACTAGCTGCACCCGCCACGCGTTGCTGTGGCTCAGTCTGGTTTAATGGGAAAGAAAGAAAAGAGAGAGCGCACGTTTCTAATATGTTTAATTTCACAGTGCTACTGGGTATACAATATTTTTTTGTTCCATTGTTTGTGGAGGTATAGATATTATCTGGTTTACCGACTCTAGAACACGCAACATATAATTGTCCACGAGAGAAGCAATCCGTTTTTACATATAAACTGCACATTTCTAAAGATTGACCCTGAGGTTTGTTGGCGGTGATTGAAAATGCCAATCGAATTGAATCTCTTAAAATGAAATGGCATATATGTTGGAATCATAGGAATGAGGACATCCTCACCTTTGAAAGGTCTTGTCAAGATTGTTGCTTCTATGACGTCGCTGATTATTTTTTTTACTGCAAGGCACGTGGCGTTGCAAAGTTTTGGCTGGTTGATATTTCGCAACATGATAATTCAAGCCGATTTTCAATTGCCGTGCGTGTGATGGTATCCCTGGCAGATCAAATAAATTCGAAAATTCTGTTGGATAATTAACCACTTCATCTGCTTCCACAACAGCGTCGACGGACTTATGTGACTGCCTCGCTTTGGATGTTAGACTAAATAATATTGTTTAGGTCCAAGATGTCTTTGTTCTTGGCCGCAAGAACTGCTCGTTCATTCAGCCAATCGTGATTCTTATAATTGGTTTGAATGTTGGGAAATGCTTTATTTATTTTTATTTATTTATATATATACAAAAAGGTACATTGGGTTTGTGAGAATACATTGGATAGTACAGTATTTACTCTCTTGTAAAGCCACTAGTACGCGCAGCGTTTCGGACAGGTCCTTAATCTAGCAGATAATTTTAAGTAGGTAATTTCTATCAGAATTGATAAATGATAAAGATACATTGCAAGAGAAAAATGAGATGAGAGAGCTTAGTAAGTATATTAAAGCACATTGTTATAATAAAGCTCTGATTGATTACATTGACAGCTTGATTAGTAATTTAAACAAGATTAATAGACACCATACAGCAGATTGACAGCACATATAAGACAGCAATGATCACAATGGTAAAGATGTTCAGATTGGGTACATAAAGATTGGGAGACTGGGTAGCAATAGATACAGATAAACAAGATTAATAAACACCATACAGCAGATTGGCAGCACATATAAGAAGACAGCAATGATCACAATGGTAAAGATGTTCAAATTGGGAACATAAAGGTTGGGAGATTGGGTAGCAATAGATACAGTGCAATTTTAAGGCAAAAAGTGAAAAACTATGAAGATGAAATTAGGTACTTTTTAGTATTGATTTTGAATGATGTAAAAGTTGGACAGCTTTTCAATTCAATAGGGAGTGAGTTTCATGAACTGGGTTCCTTTATTTGCATAGAGTGTTTACACAGATTAAGTTTAACTCTGGGGATATCAAAGAGATATTTATTTCTGGTGTGGTGATAATGGGTCCTATTACATCTGTCCAGGAAGAGTTTCAGAGCAGGATTTGCATTTAAGAACAGGGTATTGTAAATGTAGTTGACACAAGAGAATGGAGTGAGATTATGTTTAGCATGTTTAGGGAGTTAAACAAGGGGGCTGAGTGTTGTCTGAAAGCAGAATTTGATATTATTCTGATAGCAGATTTTTGCTGGGCGATGATGGACTTGAAGTGGTTTGCAGTAGTTGAACCCCATGCACAGATACCATAATTGAGATAGGGATAGATTAGTGCATAATATAGAGAGATGAGAGCAGAGTTAGGTACATAATATCTGATTTTGGAGAGTATACCAACTGTTTGAGAGACTTTCTCAGTTATGTGTTGTATGTGGGTACTGAAGTTGAGTCTCTTGTCTAGGAATAGGCCAAGAAACTTTCCATCATTTTTATTGCTAATGTTTACATTGTCTATCTGAAGCTGAATTGCATTTGTAGATTTGCTTCCAAATAGGATGTAGTAGGTCTTTTCTATGTTAAGTGTTAGTTTGTTGGTTGACATCCATAAGTGGACTTTTTTTAGTTCATTATTAACAACATCATTTAGTGTATGTGGGTTGGGGTTGGAGTAGATGAAGGTAGTATCATCAGCAAACAAAATAGGTTTCAGAATGTTAGAGACATTAGGCAGATCATTGATGTATATAAGAAATAGAAGAGGTCCCAAGATGCTGCCCTGTGGCACTCCAATGGTTATTGGTAGAATGGGAGAGGTTATATTATTGATGGCTACACATTGGTGTCTATCACTAAGATAGGATTGGATATAGTCCAGTGCATGGCCTCGGATTCCATAATGATGGAGTTTACATAAGAGGTAATCGTGATTAACAGTATCAAAGGCCTTTCTCAGGTCAACGAAGAGTCCAATCGGAAACTCATTTTTGTCAAGGGCTGAGTAAATTATATCAAGGAGACTAATGATTGCATCGTTGGTACTCTTTTGAGAGCGGAAGCCAAACTGACAGGGGCTAAGATTGTCGAATTTTACAAGATAGGAGTAGAGCTGTTTGTAGATAATTTTTTCAAATATTTTTGATAGTATGGGTAGGTTTGATATTGGTCTATAGTTGTTTATGTCTGCCGGATTACCTCCTTTATGAACTGGCGTTACTCTTGCTTTTTTAAGGATATCAGGGAAGGTATGACACTCAAGGGATTTGTTGAACAGCAGAGCTATAGGTGGCGCAAGGGCATGGGAGGCGCTCTTGTATACAATGGATGGCTGGTGAAAGGAGAAGAGAGTTTGGATAGCTGCCTGAGAGATATGTGTTGATATGCGTCTGGGTCTGTGGGATTTTAATTGCAAGGTTAGCACCAATCGATGAAAAGAAGCTATTAAATTCTTTCGCCATTTCTAAGTCAGATGACGGTGTAAGGCCATCCTTAGAGAGTGTTATCTGGTTGTGGGAGTGTTGTTTAGTTCCTAGGATATTAGATATTAGTTCCTAGGCTTTTCAATCAATTTTTCTTTTGACTTCACTGCATTGCAGAAGTTATGAGCCAATGAATTTCGTCCTGAGTTCAGTTCAACCGGCACATTTCCGTTCCCAATTTACAGCAATTGATGTGAGAATATCTCGGCTGATGGATCGTTTTTCAGCTGGACACGTATATTTAGTTAATTTTAACGTCTTTGTGTCACAACAAAGAAGAGTAATACAGGCGAGCCTTTATTTCGTCCGCTGGTGTTGATCGAGGCATTACAGGTAATGTTTGCTTGAAATCTCCTACAAGCAATATTAATGCATTCCCAAATGGTCTGATGTTTCCACACAAATCTTGCAATGATCGATCAAGAACCTCGAGCAATTTTGTGAGCAATTGTGCATTCACCCCAAACAATAAGTTTGCATTTCTGCAATACGTTTCCCAAGCCGGATGCTTTGGAAATGTTGCATGTGGGAGTTTCAATGAATTGTATGTTCAATGGCAATTTCAAAGCTGAATGAGCAGTTCTTCCACCTGGTAGCAATGTCGCAGCTTTTCCGGACGATGGGTTTTCCGGATTTCCGGAAAATGGCTAAGGTTATGCCATTTTGGGATCGAAATGCTACCAGAATCACTCTAATTAGGAAGGTTTTACCAATTCTTCCTGGCGCATTTAAGAAGATTTCTCCAAGCCCATTATTGACAATTTGAATTATTTGATTGTAAATGCCTTTTCACTCAAGCGTTATCTTAGGAATATTTGATTACACATATGACAACAGATCACCCGTGTTGTAATTTTGTTCACGACGCAATTCTACATCGAACGAAGCAGCAGCAGCTAGATTTGCTGATGGCATTTCCAACTGATTGAGAACTTTGTTCGCGATTTCTAAGCACAAATCTTCGATCATTATCAACGCTTCGTTGTAAATTTCTGCTGTGAAATCCATGTTCATATATGAATTTTCCTTTGTATTCAACGGATAATATCTTCGGCCATGTGCAATTTATATTTCGTCCATAACTCTGTTGGAGATGGAGAGCCAGTGGTTATATATGATTGCAAACAATGCACGAATTTGATTTGGATGCGACGTGTTGGACGCATATTAATGCATACATCCCAGTGTCGGTTGTTCGCCAATAAATTCAGAGCTTGACATGCAATACGAGAAGTGGCATGTGTTACGCCATTGACAAATCTCAATTGCTGGAAAGACGTTGGACACGGCACATTTACCAACAGCATGCGAAGAAAGAAGCATTCATCCTGATTGGGATGGACGGTTTACAGTCTGCCTATTGTGGTTTGTTTGAATGTGCCAGGTTGTCCGACTCGCTCTCCTCATTTGCGTCGTTCAAATGATTTTCAACTGGCATTCCATGTGTAATACGTAGGCACTTCCGAATACAGCACTGTTTTCGCAAACGCGTCATTTTGACATAACGTGAAGAAAGCAGTTAATGTTGTAGCCGGTGTTTATAGCCGTTTTTGCATTTGCAGCTGTGAAATAAACGCGTTGTCCATTTTCTTGTTTTCAAAACAAAAACAAAAAATACTAACAAAATATTTCAGTTCAAACGCAGATCAGTCGACAACTCAATTTCACCACCAATTGCACTGAAGCACTGAAAAATAAGAAGTTAAAAAAAACAAAATGAAAAAATTAAGAAATAAACTATACCCACGAAATGAACAGTATGGTAAACAACATGGCTCAATTCCAATGCAATGTCACACAAAATAATTAAATCAAAATGAAAATAAAATAATATCTATGAAAATTCCATTTACCAATGCAATCGAAAACATTGAAATGGAATTGTAACATATTTTGTATTGCGTGTGTTGCTCTGAGGTGCAACAGATGGTGCTGTTTAAAAAAAAAACATATCTTTACCTGTCACAGGTGTGGCATCTAAATTGTAAGTATATAAAAACATGCACGTATTCGAATGGAATGTTGTGCCAAAATTTCAAAGCAATTGGTGAAGAACTTTCGAAGATTATGTGTGTTGCTCTTACGTCCTACAGATGTGACTGTTTTTCAAAAAAATCATATTTCTTCCTGTCACCGGTGAGGCATGTATATAGTAGGTATATAAAAACACTCGCCTATTCGAATGCAACATTGTCAAAATTTCAAAGCAATCGTTTTTTAAGATTTCCCTCACATGAAAAACACAGTTTTTCCAAAAACGCATGTTTTTTCCCATCATAGGCATGACATCTACATAGTATGTATATAAAAACCCTCTCGGATGCGAATGGAATGTTGTGTGAAAATTTCAAAGCAATCGGTGAAGAACTTTCGGAGATTAGCGATTTTGAACAAACGAACATTTCCATTTTTATTTATAAAGATTACACTTGAGAGGATGTGTCATGACCTAATATCCAACATATTCAGAAATTTAAGTGGACCAAGTGCTTTCTGGGTCCTGAGTTTAAGTTACGTTGCCTCGCTTCCTATTGATATCCTGCAAATTAAGTATTTCAACCAGATGCTTGTGAAAGATTTAAATTGTTATAGTTTCCAATATTGTATGAAAGTCTGTATATAGCAATGACTATCAGTATGCAACAAGACACACTAAAGTCTTATCCATCACTCATCGCCAACAGGTGATCCATGACCCCAGTATGCACACTGCTGTGGCCATAGTTATGGTCAATGATGTTGGAAGATACGGAACTTTCGAATCCGGGAGTCTACATGATCCTCCTTGCCTTGACCAGTGCTATCGGCTTCCCTGGGTTAACTGGGAAGTCTCTGACCCAACACGTGGGAGGACCTTTTGCTGTTCTGTTCATGAACTCCAGTCAGCTATCACTGATTTTCCTTCACTCGGCCCTGTTGGTCTTCTCTACTAACATTTACTCAAACAAGGATATGCTGATGTGTTTATCATGATTAAAAGTTGGATTTGCAGACAATGAGCTGTGGCTGAATATATGATGACTGAACAACGTGTCGGAAAATGAAAAAATGACGACGTTACAGTCCATTCTGGACCCTTGTCAAGTCATGTGATAGAAAGGAGGAAGAGACAGGCAAATAAATAAGGTAAGAGTGAGGAGCAGGTGAGAGAAAAAGGGACAAGAATAAGAGAAAGGGGTAAAGTTTCGTGTGAGCTATAGTAGACCCCATACCCATCCTGTGGGCAGTAGTGGGCCCCATAAACATCCTATATTTTTTGTTCAATAATACAGTACATAGTTGCCATATGATTATCCATTTGGGTCATTATTCCATTAAAAGGTTAAGTACATCATTCTCGTACTTGTATCTGATGTTTGTATCAGTTATCTAGTTTAGGTCCAGGACAGAGCAAAACGCTTTAGTTTCTTCATTTTCCAATGTGTTGTTTGGTCATCAAACACTGAATTTCCTGTAATAAATTTTTAAACTCTATTTTCAATACTGTGCAATTTCTTGGCTAAATTAAAGTAGTACTTCATGAATAATTAAGTAACTCGTGTATTTACCTATTAGTAACGTCTTCCATCAGATAATTTCTCGGCAAATATACATATTTGACAGTATGCAATTAACTATAAATATAAATATTTGCATATTATTTTGTTAACTTTTAAGCAGATTTTATATACATGCATGTACTTACCTAGTTGTGCTTGCAGGGGTTGAGCTCTGGTTATCTTAAGTTATCTTAAGATGATTTCGGGGCTTTTTAGTGTCCCCGCGGCCCGGTCCTCGACCAGGCCTCCACCCCCAGGAAGCAGCCCGTGACAGCTGACTAACACCCAGGTACCTATTTTACTGCTAGGTAACAGGGGCATAGGGTGAAAGAAACTGTGCCCAATGTTTCTCGCCGGCGCCTGGGATCGAACCCAGGACCACAGGATCACAAGTCCAGCGTGCTGTCCGCTCGGCCGACCGGCTCTGGCTCTTTGGTTGGGTCTGGCCTGGCTCTTTGTGTGTGTGTATACACGTGTCCTTGTACAGCACATGTGACTGACTACTTATCTCTTCACCAGTAAATCACTTGTGAAAAATATTTATATTTAATACAAATGCCATTTGTACCATAACTTCATCATTAACCCTTCGCGGTGGCACTTTCATTTCGGCCCCATAAATGGGTCTACATATAGTTAAAAAATATTTAACAAATACCATTTTGGGTTTATGTAGTAACAAAATTATCTACCAGTAGAAACAATATAAACATGGGCAATTTATATTGTTTTAAGGATGGAATTTTGAGTTTGTCTATTGCATTTTTAGGGGAGTGTTCTTCCCATTTGTCAGTGGAAAAATCACTAAAAATGCATATTTGATGATCAAAGGAAAGTGCCACGCCAGAAAAGTTACATAGCACTGTTTGATAAGATCTTTGATGGATCCTAGATATCAAAGATGAGAGCAAAGGGGATGGCCATTGGCTGCCTGCTGATGCAGTCACAATGGTGCCTCAGAGGAAAGTCTTTTGGCTATAAGAAACTAAATTTAAGTTCTCACCCCCATAGGGCGAGAAGCCTGAAAACCCAGAAAACGTACCACTCAACCTCGCCAGGTTTGGGGGGGGGTTACTTGTGATGTCGGTGTAATGACTCTTGACATAGACACATCACGAATCCCAGAGAAGGTTCCATGTATGGCACACGAGCATCGAGAATGGGGTCCTCGGAGTGCGAGTGAATAACTAGCGGGGCTGGTTCGTCTGTTGTCTAGACGAATCGGAACATTTAACACCAAACTTATATGTTGGAATACAAAACAGACACACTTCCCAGTTAACACTGGAATCCATACTTCCGTGGAAATAAACGATCCATTCATGGTTAGCAATAGCTCGGTCGGTAGAGCTTCGGCCTCACATGCATGGGGTCTGTGGTTCGAGTCTCCTAGAGCCCAAGTGAATGGAAAGTTAACACTGGACTTTCTCTGGTTAGCAAAAAGGAGACACATTAATTAGCAACTTTTATCTTAAATGCCCTATCATATAGATTTTCCATGGAGCCTTGGATCTCCCCAGATTAATATTTTTAACTTAAGATTACCTAAACGATCATTCCTGTCACGAGGTACAGGATGCAATATTTAATCACTTCATACTGCAAAAAGATGGCATTTGTCATGCTGTAGGCAAATCTACCTCTGTCTGTGAATAGTTAATTCTATGCATGAATAGCTTATCCTTGAAGGGACAGTTAGCGAGGAGGGAAAATTTATCCTAATCATATTGCTTTCCAGAGCCTTTCATGACCCTGTAGAACTTATTTACAAATATTTCCCGAGGCGGTGGTGGCAAAATGTCACTGCCTGAAAGTTATATTCCAGGCCAAGGGCACAGCAGAATTTACCTTAAGAAGCCAAATGAGACATCTTGAGGTTATCTTGAGATGATTTCGGGGCTTTAGTGTCCCCGCGGTCCGGTCCTCGACCAGGCCTCCACCCCCAGGAAGCAGCCCATGACAGCTGACTAACACCCAGGTACCTATTTTACTGCTAGGTAACAGGGGCATAGGGTGAAAGAAACTCTGCCCATTGTTTCTCGCCGGCGCCTGGAATCGAACCCAGGACCACAGGATCACAAGTCCAGTGTGCTGTCCACTTGGCCAACTGGACATGGTTCAGAAATAAAATTAATGTGTAACTGCAAAGATAAAGTGCAATATCCAAGCCATATTTGGAACTGCAACTTTCTTAACTTTGACTTTCAAGTGCATATTTAAAATATGAAAGTATACTTGGTACAGAGTTCAACTGCTTGTAAATGCTAAATCAGAAATTAAACTTTCTTGCCACTAGTACATTACAAATGGAATGGACAAATTGTTAGTGAAACAAACCATTTATTATACTTTTTCCTAAGCTTTATTCACTATAGATCATTTATCAAACACTGAAGGAATACCCGAGGAATTTCTGCATCTTGTTCAGTTCCAGACATCTTAATTATAAACATTATGTCTGTTTATTAGTTTAGTGAGGTTTATATGCTATTCAATATACTTTGTACACAACAAACTTCCACAAAATCTTGTGGAAAGTATACTGCCATATCATCCAAGAGGTGATATGGCAGTATAATGAACAATAGCCCAACAAAATCATGTCAATTTTTGTACAGATCAGAAGTCCAACAAAAGTTAACTCTTTGGAGTGAGCAAAAGCACAACTTCAACCATGTATGTCAAGCCCCACTTACATATTCGATCATCGTCTGAAGGCCAATTGACAGTTTCCAATAGCTCCAACTTGCATGTATCACCTGAAAAAGCATAAATGTTAGTGGAAGAGGAATTTTTAATACCTTAATTCTGACACATAACTCAAGTACAGTACCTGTAACTAAATATATATATATTTTTAAACTTTTGAAATAAATCCACACACTTGGCAGATGCATCTGAAGATTGTTATTGAAACTGTAATGCCATTTGTGATTAAAAACTAAAGAATGTGAGAATTTCTCAAGAGTATAGCTACAATAGATAAATTACTTACAAGCAAACCAGTACATAAAATTTAATGCCAATGACTTATACTGTACATATTTACAAGATTCAATTTCCTTAGGGTACAATTGCTAGTTATTGAATATTTACAGCTAACATTTATGGTGGACTAAAATTACAAGTTTATTGGAAAATTTATGATGGAATAGAAAGGAAACATTCTATAAAACACAAAAATGGATGTTGAACAAACAACTCCTGCAGAGGTATTAACTACAAAAATGAGGTGTTTGGAATTATAATACAGTAATTTGCTTAAATTTTGTCAGGGGACAGGCAGCCTGTTCATGTATATACATTACTCGATTCAAGCCGTTCCCCTCCCACACCGGGTCAAACTACTGACCCTTCCCAGGATGCAACCCCCACAACAGTTACCCAACTCACGGGTATCTACTGCTCTGTGAACAGAGGCATTCGGTGAAAAGAAATGTGCCCAGCCATTTTTGTCCTACCAGGGATGCGCACCATTCCCAACTGCGAGTCGAGAACAAATTCAATTATACTACCGAAAACCTTATGGCACATACCAGGCGTCTGGATAATTCATGCAAGTACTCGAGTGGTTTTTATACCCATTTCCTATATAGGAATACAGTATGTGAAAACTGTTTAATATAATTATCATGGTTGCCAAACAGGAATTCGATAAATTAACTGTAAAACTCTTGTAATTAACCGATTAGCTTTGTTAATAAACAAATAATATAAAGTATGCCTGCCCTCAGGCCGGGCTCGGGGAGTAGAACTCTCAAAACCCTCTCCAGGTATGCAAAGCTAAAGATCAGGAGATGGAGGAAAGGATGTTGTTCTTCACTTAGCCAGGCAGAACTAACCCTTTACTGTATATCTCGGACAACAAGCAGGCACACAACCAGAATGACAATGCACAGAATAGTAATGTGCAGAATGAAGGAGGAATCCTTCAGCTTCCCTAGAAACAACATTAGGAGTTTAACCCCTGCACTGCGCAAAGCGCCTTTAGGCGCTCTGAGAGTTGTGCTATTTTTTTTTTTAATTAGGCTATATTTTAATGTTTTTTAATGTTTTCATTACTCTGTGTTTTTAAATGAAAATAGTAGAGTTTGGAAGCATTTTGACATTAAATTTACCTGAATATTTATGTAAACAACTAGAATATGTCCTTGACAATTGCCCCAAGAAGTTTTTGCCGAAACCAGGTGCGCAGTGCAGGGGTTAAATTGCTTATACACAAATGTCATAAGCCTAGTAAATAAATTTAATGCACTGTGTGCTGAGGCTGAGAATACCGACATCATAGGCATCAATGAAACATAGGGACGAGAGGACATTATTGAAGAGAAACTCCATCTCCCAGGATAGCATTCAGAAAGGACAGAACAGCAGGAGCAGTTGATGTAATGCCTGTCTTCACCTAGCAGTAAATAAGTACCAAGGAATTAGGCAATTGGGGTTCCATCCTGGGAAGTGTTAGTCGTTCTACCTTGGATGGGAGATGGGGAGGCAGAAGGAACCTAGATACAAGCCTGAAGTACTTTCAAAACTACACAGGCTTCCTGTTCCTGAAAAAAAAGTGTGATATAACTGCATTTTGCTGCTTCTGGGTTATCAACACTAGAATGTTCAACAAAAAAAAGTGAGTAGACCAACATTTTGTATTGTTAATGCATAATTATTTTATAACACAAATCATTATTGTATTTGTATATTACTTGTATGTTTGCATATTCTGAAATGTGTATCACCTCAATAATTATAAGTAAAATCTGGAAAATTTGGTGACTGACAAATAAATACAGAAATATAGAATCCCTGTAAATTCGGATTTGGTCTGGAACAATATAATTTGGATATTAAAAATGTTACTACATTTCTCAATTACATGGCAAACTACATGAAAGCTAAGCCATGTGATTGACCAAGCAAGCACTAACTCATCAGCTAGTGGGGTTCAAACATTTCCCTACTAATATAAAGAGAACTATGAGGAAAGGTAGGAAACTTTGCACTTTCTTACACATACCATAAAGCTGCTCCACGAGTTCAGTTGGAACATTCCCAGGAGGTCCACTAAAGCGTTCATTTGGTGTATACTGAGTAACATTCAGCAAGTAGCGAAAATCTGGTGCCAGAAGTGATTTTATTATCTGGGCATAACTGCAAAATTAAAAAAATTACTCGTTATAATTAGATCAATAAATGCCATATTGAAGACCAAACTGTTATACAGCCCGAGTTAATTATTCTAATTATTCTTTCTGATGATAATTTTTCATAAAGGGGCACTCAAGGAGGATTGTAATTCAGAGAAAAATTAAAACTGCAATGTTTCATGGTGTTGGTAACATATTTAAAATGAGTATTTGTCTTAGTTTAAATACACCAATACGATATTATTGTTTCAAAAGCAAGAATAATATATGAACAAAATTTGAACAATACGAGAACAAAATGAACAATACGAGAACACAAACGCATAAGGCAACGAGGGAAGGAAACTTGTAGCTTGACAAAAGTCCTCCATTTTCCCGACAGTTATATCCAGCTGGATTTTTAATTGCAGCAATGTTTAGGTATTTACAGCTTCAAAGGGCAGGTAGTTCCAAAGGTTTATAACCATATGGGAGAAAAAGCATCTCTTATTTTGTCCTACATTGTGGCTTGCTAAGCTTGAAGCTGTTGGTCCTTGTATAAGTTACATTTTACCTTTTAAAGAATTAGTCTAGATCAATATCCCCCAAATTGTTCAGCATTTTAAAACGTTTAATATGAAATCAACCTTTTCATGTCTAGCTTGCAGTGCTATTAGTCCTGTGGCCCTCAAGCATTCCTAGTACTCAAAGAACTTACATTTCTTATATTAGTCCCAGGGTACTAGACTGGTCCCCCTAGCAATGCTCAAGATAAGCTTACCATTGTCTCCCATCCCCCAGCATTTACTTCTGAAAAAAAAAATGATTACCAAAGACCCTTTTCAGACCTCGAGAGAAGATCAAATGATTCAGGTATGGGGGCCACTGGTTTGGTGGTCCCAATCACTCCCTTGCTCAAGAAAGCATACGAGATACTGGTTCAGAAAGTAGTACTGTATTTCACTATATTAAACCTTTTTTTTTCTTTTAACTAAACTTTAACCACTTGTAGCGAGTAGATTATCCCAATAATATACCCGCTCCAAATGCATTGTTAATATTCCTGTCAACCTTTCTGTAAAAGCCACTTTCAAATTTGGGGTCAAAGACTTTAGTGTGAAGAATTCTAGTGATTAACAAAAGGAAACAAAACCATAAAGGGGTTACCTTTTTCTGTCTTCTTCATATAAAGCAACAAGTGAACCTCTGTCCCACACAGCATCAAACTTGCCCAAGTGTGTTACATCTACTTTCATGACGTCGCAGCAGTACATGTGTAGCCTGTTGTCCTTCGTCTGTGGAGATACAAAATAAGTCATAAAACTAATGCTCCAGAAGATATTAACGTTATACCCAAGTACAGTACTGCATTTTTATGATACTTTCACAGTTATCCATACATGTGTTACAAAAATAAAGCAAAATAAAATACGATAAGTAAATGGTCCCTCCCCCTCCCAAATAGGGTTGGATGGTCAATAGATACCAGGATGCAACCCCAAAACCCTGTAACTCCCTGCAATTCCCTGTAACCTACCTTACCCTTCTATTGTCAACCAATGTCTGTTTTTTTCTTTAAAGAGCGCTGTTTGTCGACATAATTGTATTTGTGCTGCTTTTTCATCTATGTTTTCATTTCTTGTTTTCATTCTACTCATTATGCTCAATTAGTATTAAGCTTGTTATTTAAGTTTATCATGCCCGAAACGCTTTGCGTAATAGTGGCTTTAGGCATTGTATGTACTAGCTATACCTATAAGTCAAACAATCCTTGTAAATATTTATTGTATGTATATACCTTACCTAAATAAAATTGTATTGTATTATATTGTAAAACAGCTGTCTATAATAGCCAATTACCCATTTACTGCTAGGTGAGTAGAGGCACCAAGTGAAGGAAAACATGCCCAACCACTTCTGTCCCACCTGGGAACTGAACCCAGGACTCCTAATCGTGAGTGGAGAAAGAAGCCTATACAAACCTTAAAATGTTTTGCCCAACCCAAATTTTCAGTAGTATAGTCTAGATGCTGCTCGGAAAAAAATTCCAAAACTCCCTTTTCGACAGCTTCAATTCCAACAACTGTATGTCCTTCATCATAAAACCTGCAATCAATAAATATTACAAGAATCAGAAGAAATTAGTAATGGCAAAAAAATAAGCCACATAATAAAGCCAGGGAAAATTATTAAGCGTCTCTTACAGAAACTCAACGTTAGTGCAATTTGTAAGTCACATTTGTAAGTCAGTAAAATGTCTCACGAGGGCGAGTAAGACAACTCGCAAAATGCCCTGTACCCAGTTACATGAAGCGAGGCAAGGTTATTATCAGGAGAAAGCATTAATTAAACCAGTATGATTATATAACACTGACAATAAGAAATGACACAAGGACAAGGATCTGCAAGAAGATGGGGGCCGACCCTCTCGAGACGGGGGCCAGCCCTCTCGAGACGGGGGCCGGCCCTCTCTCGAGACGGGGCCGACCCCCTCTCGAGACGGGGCCGACCCCCTCTCGAGACGGGGCCGACCCTCTCTCGAGACGGGGCCGACCCTCTCTCGAGACGGGGCCGACCCTCTCTCGAGACGGGGGCCGGCCCTCTCGAGACGGGGGCCGACCCTCTCGAGCCAGGGCCAGCCCTCTCGAGACGGCGCCGACCCTCTCGAGACGGCGCCGACCCTCTCGAGACGGCGCCGACCCTCTCGAGACGGCGCCGACCCTCTCGAGACGGGACCGACCCTCTCGAGACAGGGCCGACTCTCGGGGCCGACCCTCTCGAAACGGGGGCCGACCCTCTCTCGAGACGGGGCCGACCCTCTCTCGAGACGGGGGCCGTCCCTCTCGAGACACTGGCCTCCTGGGAGCCCGTCTAACAAGACACACGCCTCCTGGGGGCCATACTTACCACCGGAGGTCGACAGTCTTGCCACAGAGGGGCACCAGGACCCGCCGGGGACCTGAAGGCAGCAGTAAGGCGCCGTGGTGTACTAAGGAGTAGTTGACATCCCTGATGTGCCATTTGGTGTTGCCCTCCGTCCACCTCTCTGTCCATTTCGCGAGACGGTCGGCCGTGCCCATAGTGAGGCGTGGACGGGTCCCTACACCTGTCACGGACTTTAATCCGGACTACGTCACTTGGTATACAAGACGGATCGAACATACATATATTTTGCCCATTTCGAACACCAGATTTGTACGTTCCGTTTACAAATGATCGGTTACAATTAAAACCACAATATAAGGCTATATTAACAGCTAAAATCGTCTCTACTTTACAGGCATTCATTAAGTGCAGTTAAGTGATGTGATAGACATAATTCTGGGCTTCGTAAGAACAAACATTAAACGCATCCCAACGACCACAAACATGATGGAACGCACAAAGCACATGACAGTGGCCGGTTTTGGGGTTATGCTCCTATTATGGAGTATAACAATTAACGGAGCATATTAACAATTTGTATTAAAGATCAACGTCGAATATTTAATGTTAATTAACAAAAATGACATCAGAAGTAACACGTACGCTATTGTACTTGTGCGCTAGCAGCCGTTCTCTACTGTTCATCATTGCCTTCATTTACTGCAAGCTTCACAAGGGCATTAATTTATGTTCTTGCAGCCCAATGTGATGGGATTCACAATAACATGATCCTGACCCTTTTATTAAGTATATGCATATAGAAAAACCAGTCTGCATGTCTCAGCGATGCGTTCCTTTGTCATGCTACACATGCTGGAACCAAAGAGCCAAAGCTCAACCCGCGCAAGCACAACTATGGGAGTACATAGTGAGTATTAGTGAGAGCCCCAGTGCCCCACGTTCCTGAATTTACTTGAGTGCCACTAACAATAGTGGCCTGGGGAGGACAGGAAGCTGGCGGCTTGTCGAAGGTCCCCCTGCCCCCATTTTCCTTGATGATCTTTTCTAGTTGGATTTTAAAACTTAGTTTCGTAAAGAAGGGAAGGTAATTCAGGGGAAAGCTCTACACTATTACGACTATATAGCACTGGGAAGAGGTCAGGATAAGGATTTGGGATGGGACGGGGGGGAAGGAATGGTGCCCAACCACTTGTGGACGGTCGAGGGGATTGAACACCAATTTTTGCATGAAGCAAGACCGTCGCTCTATATCGTCCAGCCCAAGTGGTCTCATATTTCATCCAAGCATCAAAAATTTAACTTTAGTTGCTCAAGGAAGCTCCAAATACTCCTGTTGTTTTTTGCTTTAGATTTAGCTACTCCTAATAAGAACTCTATGTAGCACGGGTTATGTTGAGCTTGTGGTGGACTTCAAATACTCCTAATGCGAATACCTTTTACTAAAGTTATACAAGCCTTCCCTTCTTACCTTTATAAGTAAGAAGGAAGACTTTCCCTCCTTCTTTATAAGAAGGCTTTACCAAGCCTTCCCTTCTCGTATATTATTTTGCAGGACTCTCACCACTGATCTCCCTATTCTTTCCCTCCTCAAGTTCCCCCCTTCCCCCCTGATTCCTACCCATGGGACTTACCCCCTCATTCTTGGGACTCCATAAGACTCCTCAATTGTCACCCCACAACACCCCTACTTATTCCTTCCACAGGAGTCTGGTTAAGGTGTTGGATAAGGTTAAGGAGGTGTTAAGGTGCTGGTTAAGGAGGAGTTAAGGTGCTTGACACAGCCTACTCTATTCGACACACTCATCACATTGGCTATAGGTATCCTCATAATTTTTTGAGCAGCGATGACGTTGAACAACTATTCTTTAGGTCATTTTTTAATCCTATTTGATTGCTCAGTAGTTACACATGTTTACTTGAGACAGTTAAGCAAGTCCCAGCTGTGTCTAGGTACAAGTGACAGGATGAACAACCCAGCGGGTTTTCCTCCTATTGGGGAGTGTTGTGATTGCTGCTATGGCGGTATGTCCACTCACAAGATGAGTGGCGCTGCCCAATAAACTCGCCCCTCGAGGCAAAATTTAAAATTTAAATTTATGTAACATGTTCCTTTATAGTATATTTCATGAACCAAATATTATTATTATTATTTCGAGTATACAACTAAATCAGTATAATTTATAGGCTTTGAGTGTTTATTGTGGAGTCGCTTTAACAGAGATCCCATTAGTGGTAAATTAAACAAGTTATAATTGACAATTTAAAAAATGGCAGCCAATATTCTGAATGAATATATTACATTATTCATGTTCTCACTAGAAAGATTACGACCAATACCCACACAATTTTTTGAAGCAGGTGAAGAGAATGAATTAATGACTATTCCTACAACGAGAGAAACAATCAGGAATCTAAATTAAGAAATTAAAGGAATTGAAAGCTTCAGGTGTAAATGGTATTCGATCCAAAATCGTAATGAACTGTGTCTTCCACCTGAAACAGTCCAACCACCACTTGGGCTGGACGGTAGAGCGACGGTCTCGCTTCATATAGGTCGGCGTTCAGTCCCCGACCGTCCACAAGTGGTTGGGCACCATTCCTTCCCCCCCGTCCCATCCCACATCCTTATCCTGACCCCTTCCCAGTGCTATATAGCCGTAATGGTTTGACGCTGTCCCCTGAAAATTCCCTTCCCTACCACCTGAAACTCCTAGTCAAAAAATCTCTTGAGGAGAAATTCCACTAGATTAGAAATTTATCTAAGGGCTACTCGATCTCTCTTTCTAGTGGCCACGACAAAGATATGAAGTCAACGGCTTGTTAAAGGTCACCCCTTGTTTGTTCTGGTGGTTTTAACGGGCTGGATCTAGAAATTTATCAGTGTATTGGCATTTACACCTTCGACGGGTAGGCGGTTCCACGACCTTATAACCCAAAGGGTAAACAAAAATCCGTTTTCTCTCCTACATTGTGGCTTGTCGAGCTGGGAACCATTGATCGCTATTTGTTTTACATCTGACCTTTTAACCCCCTCCCCCCCTCAGTAGGAGGTCGGGGACCGGGCCGAGGGGACATTGAGCCCCAAAATCATCACATGGTTAACGAAGTTTTCTACATCAATACCCCTGCAATCTATACACAATCGACTTGAGAATGGTCCAGGACGGACCGAAACGTCGTCGTCCCTTCACCCTTCTAGTGTGTGGTCTGGGCAACATACTTTAGCCACGTTATTGTGACTCCTCGCCTGCCATACCCCTGCAAATTTTTTCGGCATTATAAAAGTTTCGACGCGTTCGGTCCTGTCATGTGTAGCTTGCAGTGTTGCTAGTCCTGTGGGGCCAACATGTTGTTGTTGTTATAGATTCAGCTATTCGGAACAAGTTCCAAGTAGCACGGGCTATGGTGAGCCCGTAACTTACCTAGCACAGGAGCGGGGCAAGTAGCACGGGCTATGGTGAGCCCGTAGTGGACTTACCTGGCACAGGAGCGGGGCAAGTAGCACGGGCTATGGTGAGCCCGTAGTGGACTTACCTGGCACAGGAGCGGGACAAGTAGCACGGGCTATGGTGAGCCCGTGACTTACCTGGCACAGGAGCGGGGCAAGTAGCACGGGCTATGGTGAGCCCGTAGTGGACTTACCTGGCACAGGAGCGGGGCAAGTAGCCCGGGCTATGGTGAGCCCGTAACTTACCTGGCACAGGAGCGGGGCAAGTAGCACGGGCTATGGTGAGCCCGTAGTGGACTTACCTGACACTGGAGCGGTGCCCTGCTTTGTGGGGCCAACAAAATGCGCCAGAATCGCAAGTAGGTCGACAACAAGACTTGTTTACATGGGTCGTCACGCTAAAAATAACAATCGGGGGTTAATGGATTCTGCTGAAAACACTATATGTGTGCTTGTGGCTGTACAAGAATGTAAATACACCGATAGTATGTACTCTCACGTCTTCAGGCCCTCTCTTACAGCACATCTTCTGTGAAAGGTAAGTCCACAACGGGCTCTCCATAGCCCGTGCTGCTTGGAACGTTTTGTTCCAAGTAGCTGAATCTAAATGTAGTTAATTTTATTTTAATTATTAGGGGAAAACACCAAGCCATTACGACTTGATAGCACTTGGAGTCAGGATAAGGATTTGGGATAGGACGGGGGGGGGGGGGAAGGAATGGTGCCCGACCACTTGGATGAGCTGAATATAAAACAACAACAGCAACAGTCCTCTAGATTACGGGTTATTCATGCCCGTGCCACCTCTTGGGTGGTTTAATCTTCATCAATCAATCACTCCTCTGGTACATCAGAGGTCAGGACCTCTCCGTAGGGGACAACACCGCTCCTGTGCCAGGTAAGTCCACTACGGGCTCACCATAGCCCATGCTACTTGCCCCGCTCCTGTGCCAGGTAAGTTACGGGCTCACCATAGCCCGTGCTACTTGGAACTTGTTCCGAGTAGCTGAATCTCTTAACAACAACAACAACAATCTTCGTAGGGTGCAGTCGCACCTCCACAGATCTCCAGTATCAGCTCTTGATACTGGTAATGGCTCCAAAGGGCCACCATTTACGGGCTATTCATGCCCGTGCCACCTTTTGGGTGGCTTAATCTTAATCAATCAATTAATCCTTTGGTATAGTCATCTACCACTTCTCTCTCAGCATAGTTCTCAGCTGCTGTTGGCTCCCTTTTTGAATACTTGTGAGGCACGATCACCAGGTCATCACGTAATCTTATCTTAAGCAGCAACAATGTGTGATTAGACAAGCCTTAAACAGACTTCTGTGTCACTGCTCTTGTCTCTCAGGCTTATGAACACTTGTTGACCAGACCACACACTAGAAATTGAAGGAACGACGACGTTTCGGTCCGTCCTGGACCATTCCCAATCGACTTGAGAATGGTCCAGGACGGACCGAAACGTCGTCGTTCCTTCAATTTCTAGTGTGTGGTCTGGTCAACATACTTCAGCCACGTTATTGTGACTCATCGCCTGCTTATGAATACTTCTCTCTCACTGTAGTGAGAGAAAAATATTCTCTCACTGGAGTGAGAGAAACGCAGACGAGTAACAACAAAATTGTCCCTAAATATGCCTATATATGCTGCTATATTATAATATTAATTTATATTTGAGAAGATCACTATTTTGAATGAATAACATGTTAACATTGATGAATACATCTTTAGGGTCGACCGCTGGATGGAATGGACTTGATCTGAGGCCGGGTTGATAAAGGCTTCACCCATGTAGGAGGGAGCCGGTCGG